TTACGACAGAAAATTTGTTGAAATACTTTTGAAACTTTTTGCCTCAAAAGGAGCAATCTAACTGTAAAGTGTGTTTTCAAGTAACTGTGCAGAAGTCACCTTTGAACCTTCCGGTCTACGTATTGCGCACATTATCCCATATAGTTCATCATTTGTTCATCAATGTGTGCAAATCCACTTGAGAACCTTGAGATTATTTGTCACTATTGACGCACAGGTGTTCAGTGCAGATGGTGTTGTTTTTAGCAGAAATCTCTGTGTTTCAAAATTCAACAGGTCTCATTCCACTTTCAACTTGTAACAAAATGCCAAAAACTTGCTTTTGTAAGTCACTTGAGCAATATGTTTGTGATATTTCCTGCCGCAACCTCCCATTTCGCGAGATTCAGAGGCACTACCGTGTAGCGATATATGCTACGACATGCCATGCACCATGTATGAGTTATTGCAACAGCACGAGACAGTTAGTACCAAATTACTGTCTTCTTAATTTCCAATTTGTTAAAAACACTTTTGTGTTTAGACCAACTTGCTTGTTCATTGTGGAAATGCCAGGTTCAAGCTAGTCGAAGCTGAAAGACTGGTTAGGTTGTACTTAATGCCATTTGTAGAAAACTGTTGGCGAGGTCATAAAATGTACTTCATGTCAGCTTTCACTGGCTTATTGTACAGGCAATTGTGGATTGTTGTGGATCCTGTTTAGGTAAGCGTGTGAGCATGTGCAATATCTGTAAATATGTAGACCAGTGTACACAAAATTGCCATGAGAATGTACAGGTTTATGACAGCAACACATGAGGATGTAGTCATAAAGTGCGTGAATTAATGAAAACTTCAATTAAATTTAGCATGGAGTACAGGACAGGCTAACCCCGTGTCATCAGATGCCATAGTTTCTACAGATACCAACATGCAGACTGCTACCACATCATCCACCGAGTCACAGAGCAAGACGGATACAAGGGCACATCAGGACTTCAACTAAAGAAAACAAAACTTACTGCACAAATCATGCAAGGGAAAAAACAACTTTGGATTGCTGTGCGATGATGTTGCAAACGCATATGGAAAATCTAACCAAAGACACATCTGCCATTGTTGGCATATTTTGGTTCAGCCACATGCTTCTGGCGAGTGCTGAGAGTTTGGCAGTTGTGTGGGGACCAGACTCTGCCCAAAAGTTGGGATGAGTTTGAAAAAATACCTGCGTTATTGAATGATCTATGGTGTCAAAGGGCTCATTTCAGTTTGAAAACAAAAAAACTGGTACAAGTGCAAAACATGGTTCAAAAAGTGGAAATATTAACGAAACTTACGATTTAATCCTTGTGCAGTTTTGGACAATTCAGTTTTTAGAAAGTCGTGTTCTAAAACCACAAGAAATCCTGAAAACTAAATGCCTTGTATTGAGACAATGACAAAGTTCTTGTAATGGCTGCTTTAAACATCCTTTTCAGTGGTCAGTGAACTGTTTTCCAAAATAGAACTTGATTTAGACTGGTTTTGAAAGGAAGCACTTTATAACAGAATTCATACGAAGTTTAAAAAACAGTCTCAAACGAGAGTTATTTGTTGTTGAGAAACACAAAACTTTTCTTCCAAAAAGGATGAGGGATGCATTTTATCACTGTATAAAACAAAACAAACCCAATTTTTTTAAAAACTCTTGGAAATGGTCTTGCGTCGTGTTTATTCCCATTTGACCTCAAGTGGTACTGTAAATGAGGTCATACAAACTAATCCTTTTTTTAATTGGTAGTGAACACGTCTAAGCAAAGACTACAGTTAATTTACAATTGCAAGAAGTCTGCCTCACAAGAGCGGAGAAAAAAACTAGTAAACGATGGAACATGTTGATATCACAAATGGCTTGGTTTTTAGGAGTTTAACTTTGGAAGTTCATCTGCAGTTTGGGGTCAGCATTACAGGCCTTATTTTTTAGTAAACATCAAATAGCATCGGACAAAATTAGCAGAATGTAACCATTTCGTTAATGCTACTTTTATTTAGATTGAATCCTACGATGCAATTGTGAACATTCTACAAATATCCAATTGAGGCCGTTGCGCTTAGATGTGAGAGTGTTCCATTATTTGCAATCACTGTGGAGTTGTTGAAATACATTAACATCTGCTGCATAGAAAGCAAACTGATTGTTGGAGTTAATACAATCCTTGCTATGTTGCAGTCAACTTTATGCATTTGTGATCAGGGGAGTTTGTACACATCAAGAACAACTGATCACTAGTTAATGCAGTGGGCAACTTGCTGGACCTGTTGGTGTCTGTGGGCGGGGAACACGCAGCCCACACCAGGGGGGACTTGTATGCGCTAGGGTGCTTTTTTTTTGGTCACTCGTCTCAAGTTCAAGTTCAGTGTCAAGTTCAAGTTCAGTGTCAAGTTCAAGTTTAAAGTCAAGTTCAATGTCAAGTTCAAGATTAAAATCTACTTTGAAAAAAGTTAAGTATTTCTTTGTCATTTTTCAGCCCACATTTGACAGGATCCATTTTCCCATTNACGAAACAAAGAACTTTTAAGGGCATTTTCACAATTCGGCTACTTCACTAAGAACAAATAAAAAACAAATGACCCATCTCATGCATTCACAGGCTACAAAACACCCCACCCAGTTTCCTTCCCCCCACCCCATCAGTGATACCAATGGACAAACAAGCCTGCTGCCTATTTTTGTTCTGAATGCATGTGCTTGAAGACGAGATGAAATGACCTTTTTTTCTTCAACTGAAATAAACAGGCTTTGTTCTAAACACCATCTATAGTACACGTACAGTGTACATCTATTTAATTTCTGGTTTTTGTCTTTTAATCGATTGTGTCTTCTGCAATCTCAAAAAATAGGCAGCAGGTGAATTAAACACAAAAACACACAACAAAAAACTGTACTTTTTAATTCAGCAATCAATGCAAAAACAATCTACACCAGCACATCCTACTATTTAAAGGTAATAATTGACTTTTGAAACTAAGTACAAAGACCAAAAGAAAAAGATGGAAATTTGATAAATTCAGAAAAGTCATGCAAAAGATTTTTGACGTCATGAAACACGAAATATGCCAACAATTAAAAGATGTCTTAAGGTTAATTTGTAGAGAAGGATAAAGTATCAAAGGCATTCTGAAAACGAATCAATTTATAACACTCTACATGTTGTTTTAACATTGCAGCATACTCCTCTGTAACATCTAAGAAATTCAAATTTCTAATGTAGTTGCAACGCAACTCCTGAATTCATTTGAATAAAAACTGCAAAACTAGTTATGTTTTTCACCAATTTTGACCTAACTGTTACACTGGAAATTGCATTGGTTTGAAGTTCCCTACTTTAATCAAGTGTGTACTTTAATGGACTAAAAGTAATTCACGTTTTATATGCACATTAACCAATAAACAGTCTGTGCTATTTCTACTAAAATAGGAAATCAATTTCATGATGTGCTGGTGTAGATTGGATTTATACACAGTATAAAACTATTCATAAGTACTTCAAATATAAAAGGAACCGAACCAGGCACATACCAGAATTGTGTAAAATTCTTTTCAGGATTAACAAATTCACTTTCACATATTACAAAAAGTTGATTGACAAGTAAAATGGACGGCTGTGTAAATGTCCACACATTTAGTCCATGACAGCAAAGTGGAAAATTTACAAATCTTTGAAGTTATATGTGCCTGGTTCAAAACCAACTCTTATGTAAACATTTTGAGCAAATCCATGGCAACAAATTAAACCAATCACTGACAGGTCTGAGTCGTCATTCTGTCCAGATTAGGTTTGTTTTCTATTTGAACTGACCATGACCAACACTGCAAAAATGAAGTGTTTCACATCTGAAATGTTAGACTTGCATGTTTATGAATTGGAGGAACTTTTAGCTTCAACAAAATTTATTGCTGCTGGATAGTTTGCCTGGAGTGACCAGAAATGAGGGTTCCATCCTAGCCAATCAGGAGTAAAGTTTCATGACTATGGTCACTTGGGCCTGGCCTCGTGGAATGAGAGACCCCAAGGGCTCAAGAAAACCAAGCATCTTTCATGCTGTCTTTCTGATTGCTAGTAATCACTAATTGCGACAAAAGCTGTTGCCATGGACCTGCCCTTGACCAAGATGAGTTCATCCAGTCTTGGAGATGAGAATTCAAGCTCGTAGGAGGCCAATCCTTGGACATCAGTGGTGATGACATCTTGGACCACTTTGTGACACATTACGATCATGCTGTTTGGTGCTTCCAAAACCAGATGTTTCTGAGGTGTGGGAAGAGAGAAAAGCGATTAGTTTCCTGAAATAGTACTTTTTTTGGGCAGGGTACAGGAATAAGACATTGTATCACTGTTTTTTTTATATTTTCATTGAAGCCATGCTGAAAAAAAGCAAGTTCAACTGTGGTTGCAGGATGCAGCAGAGCACGAGTGAAGATTTTGTCTATTTGTGGAATGTTTTTGGAGGTGCGTTCTGTTTTCTTGTAAAGAAAAACAACTTTTCTGAAAACGTATTCTTTCATGCATGTAAGGTATTCCATAGATTTACCGCTTGTTTGGAGTAAAAAAATACACTCTTTTTAATCTTTTTACTTACTGAAAATACATCCATAAAATTCAGAACAGATTACTTTCATGCTTCAACCTGCGCGTGGTTGATAAAAGGTAAAATATTTACATGTATTCCTGTACCCTGCCTTATTTAAATTGTGTGGTCAAATTTATTCTTAACAACTGCCTACAAAATTAAGGGCAACGATATTGTCACACAACTAAAATTTGGATCCAGTTGGGGACTTCCACTGGAATTCAACTGTTTCAGAAGACACCACACAACATGTGAAAGAACACTGCTAAAGACAGGCAAAAGGAAAATTGGTTTCTATAGTATTAAGGTGTATCAAGGTGCTTGCAGGCAACTAGGTCAAACAAATTTGGAAAATGTTACAGCTGTTACAATAAAAGGGACTTATCGTATCTTTTTTCCAAGTGACGTCTTGAAAATTGATCTTTTCTAATTAATCATAAAACTATGAAAGGCCGTGTAGTAACCCTAAAAAAAAACAGTTTCCTTGTGCAGTGTAAAAACTTGTAGATGCAGGTGTATTTCTGTCACACATGTGCAATTCTGCTACACATCTTACCCACGATAAAATAACTTCTGCTTTTTGCCATGTAAACAAAGTTTTCGTCTTCACCCTATCAGTCCTCAATCCGCCAGCAAGTGAAGGATTGAGGACTGTTACTTTTAATCGAAAGATAAAAACTAGAAACTGTTTTCACTTCTAAACATCAATTCATGTGCATCTCAAACTCGTGAGAATTCACCAGTTGACATCCGTAAAGAAACATGTTTAAACAGTGAGTTTACTCTCAGGATATTGATATTCATAAATATTACAAATATATCGCATGAAGACAAGACGTTTATCAACCCGGATACCCCCATAAAAATAGGTACAGTTGCATCAAAACTGTATCCGTCAGCCAGGTCTTGTTCCCAACTGACACCCTGATGTGAGGCCATTCCAGGGATACAGCATGTACCATGCATCTGCCTTAAATAATCCATTACATAGATACATGTATGTTAAGAAAAGGAAAGGCTAAATGCTCTGTTCACAAATTCATAACTGCTACAAGTTGCTGAAGATACCCGATATCCCCAAAAAATGTTTAAAAAGAAACCAACAAAAATTTAAATGAAATCAAAACTATAAACCTCATTAAGGTCAAATTACGTCATTTAGAAAAGTCGGAAAACTGTATGCACCTCAGTTATCAACAAAGTCTGCAAAATGACGATGGACACTGGTAAAATGTACAAAAATCACTTTCGTTCAAGTTCAAAAATGGATAAAGTTACTGATGCATGTTGTATCCACCAGCCTGGTCTTGTTCCTTAATAAAACCACATGGCCATTCCAGTGATCAAACATGTTAATGCAAGCATAACATGTACATTACTTTGAGGCACTAATTATCTTCGTCATTTTCAAAAGCATGTAGAGAATCATCTTTTCTAGACCCCTCCCCTCAAAGAGAATAATCAGGAAAGGATAAAGAAACTTCTTAAGCATATACTTCCCAATCCCAGGGAATGACTTGTACACTCGTGACGATGAAAAAAATAAATGGCCCCTTTAAACCCACAGAGAGATATTTCAAAGGAAAGTATCTTTTTTCATTCCATGTAAAACCTAATAGAACATCTTATAACAATTTTATGGTTACAAAGAAGCTAAAAAAAAACCTATTCCCTTGGGTGTGTGAAAAACACAAGGATTGCAGTCTGGGTCATTTTATAAATAAGCCACTTGCGAGTTAAATTTGAATAAAATCCAGTACGCTGTGTTACCTGATTGCACAGGAACGTAACAATTTGAATTCCCCAGACCAAAGACACTGTTGCTATACCTCATGGTTCGGGGCCAGCTTTTGCTAGCGACCACCATCTCTGGAATGGATTGGTTCCTTTGGGCCGTTCTTGTCCATTGAGAACAGTTTATTGTTGCAAGGCGTCTCTTATGTAACTAAGCAAAAGCTTGCCCCGAATCACAAGGTATAGCAACAGTGGTTTTAGTATGGAGAATTCAAGTTGAATTTAAAGAACTCAGTGTACCAGATTCTATTCAAATTTAACTCGCAAATGGCTTATTTTGGGTCTACTTTTGTCCCTGTCACATTTGATATATGATTGGTACATTTAGTACACTTTTTCAATTTCAAAGAGTTACAAAGTAATGCAAATTATCTGCCAAATAAATAGAATTTGAAATCACTTTTGATGATATTTCCAAGTCAGATTACACAGGTCAGGTGCAACAGGGACACAAAAATGTCCCTTAATTTATAGAATAACCGTACTAGTAAAGGCAAGAAAGTGATGCTCTCCAAGAAAACGAGTCACTGGTCAGGACTGTTCATGGGAAGAGTTCCATATACGGACATAAATAATTTCTCTACAGTGTCATATCAGCCAATAGAAAGTGGTCACATATCATATCATATCAAATTTAGCAGGAAAAATATCAAAGCATTTACATGTACATAGAAAATACTTTTCAGACCACTCTCATAGGGTCTGTGCCAAAGGCGTGAAGTGATGTCTGTGTATGAACCTCTTTTCACTTTTATTCCCGACATCAAATCTCTGTGTGTTTGAATTTCAATAGCTGCACTAAAGGTCGTGCTGGCGCCATGTTTCATGATAATAGAATTAAAACTGCATTTTCAAAGTAAACAGTGATAAACTCACTAGGGTCAACAAGACTCGTCTTGCTAGACTGCATCACTAAAATTATTCTATGAAAGGGAGATACATCAATTTGTTTTGATAAATTGATGTTTCTCCCTTTCATAAGTCAACCAAATTTTATCTAATTTATTATCTACCCATATCCCCTTCCCACCCACCCCTCAAAGCAACAATTGTATTTATACTGTATCCATCAGTTAAGGTCAGTCTCCAACTGATGACTTTGATGTAAGGCCGTTCCAGGAATCCAGCGTATTACATGCAAATACCTAAACTCTAAAAAGATAATTACAAAATATGGAAGAGGCATCTACTCTATCTATGCAGCTGTTACTAAAACCCAATAATATGGCAGCGTGATTTTGCAGGCCAATACAATCAAACAGGAAGAAAGAAACCATATTTGAAGAGGTGAGTTTTTGTGCTAGTGATAAACTCACAGGTCTCAATTTGCTACTGGCTGGAGAGATGTCATGGTGATGAATTGTCACGGGTCTCCCACAGCAACTGGCTGGAGAGATGTCATGGTGATGAACTGTCACAGGTCTACAACAGCAACTGGCTGGAGATATGTCATGGTGATAAATTGTCACAAGTCTCAATTTGCTACTGGCTGGAGAGATGTTGTGGTGATAACTGACACAGGTGTCCATTCTCTAATGGCTGGAGAAATGTGATGGTGATAAATTTGTCACAGGTCTCAATTTGCTACAGGCTGGAGAGATGCACGGTAATGAACTGACACAGGTATCCATTTGCTACTGGCTGGAGAGATGTCATAGTGATTACTGACACAGGTCTCCATTTTCTACTGGCTGGAGAGATGTCACAGTGATTACTGACACAGGTCTCCATTTGCTACTGGCTGGAGAGATGTCATGGTGATAACTGACACAGGTCTCCATTTGCTACTGGCTGGAGAGATGTCATAGTGATTACTGACACAGGTCTCCATTTTCTACTGGCTGGAGAGATGTCATGGTGATAACTGACACAGGTCTCCATTTTCTACCGGCTGGAGAGATGCACGGTAATGAACTGTCACAGGTCTCCATCTGTTACTGGCTGGAGAGATGTCATGGTGATGAATTGTCACAGGTCTCAATTTGCTACCAGCTGGAGAGATGGCGTGGTGATGAATTGTCACAGGTCTCCATTTGCTACCAGCTGGAGAGATGTCATGGTGATAACTGACACAAGTGTCAATTTGCTACTGGCTGGAGAGATGTCAAGGAGATGAATTGTCACAGGTCTCAATTTGCTACTGGCTGAAAAAATGTCATGGCGATGAACTGACGAAGGTCTCTGTCTGTTTCTGAATAGAGAGATGACATGGTGACGAATTGTCATGGGTCTCCATTTGCTACCAGCTGGAGAGATGTTATGGTGATAACTGACACAGGTGTCCATTTGCTACCAGCTAGAGAGATGTCATGGTGATAACTGACACAGGTCTCCATTTGCTACTGGCTGGAGAGATGTCATAGCGATGAATTGTCACTGGTCTCCATCTGCTACTGGCTTGAGAGATGGCACACTGATGAATGGTCATAGGTCTCCATTTGCTATTGGTGTTTTACTACAATCCAGTAGACAAGAGTTGCCGTTTTGTCCCAGTTACCATAGCTTAGAGAAGCTATTGATGACCTCTCTCACATTTCTGGATCAAAGAAAATCACTATGACGTAGTATCCACACTTCATTTAAGACATCAGGATCAAGAGCACCATCTACGATCTTCGTGGAATCAATGGATGACCTGTGTTACGAACTTTTTCATGTCTCAAATCTGTCTCAAACCATGCCAAAACATGCTAAAGACAACATATGCGCCATTTTCACTTACATCTCTTATTCAAGGGTGTCTCCTTGAACATATTCACCAAGTTCAAGTTTGTCTCCATCAGTAGATTCATCTTACAGCTACATGCCATCTCAACTTTACCTCAACAAATATGGTTTCTTTTTACTGCATGCTTGTAGAAGAATGCTGAAATGAATTTTAACTTAGAAAAAAAGGCTAAACTCTGAAACCAGACAAGTGAATACATTAACAGTGAAAAATAACTCTTTCCGAGTAAAACTAAAGATAAGATGATTTCCGTTGACATTTAATCACTTGAATAGATTGAGATTTTGCAAGTGAATTTCCTTGGAAGGGGTTGGTTTTCCAACTTTCTCAATCCAAACTCAGAGCAATTTTCACTATAAAACTTTAAGTTTCTAGTTTCACTCTTTCAGATGTAAACAATTACTCCTTCAGATTTAGAGAGAACATAAACAATTACTGCAAGTTCCGAAGTAGTGTAGCAGGATATTGGAGTCAGAGGTATTTTTCACTGTAACCTTTGCAAATACTCTGCCAAAAAAATGTGGCTCAGATAAGCCCTCAAGAGGAAAATGCTTTTTGAAAAAAACAAAATCAAAAACAGAACCACAAGTACCATGAAGAAAACACTTTAAAGTGTAATGAGAACAAGTCTGTTTGACTGGATAATTTGCTGGTGTGCCAATTTAAAAGCTATTTGACCACTGACCCCAACAGGTTTTGAAATCCTCCAATTTCACTCATTTTGCATACACCCAAGAGAACCGGTTGAAGAAAAATATAATTTCTGTACAATTCTTGTGGTAGAAATTTTCCTTAAGAACTACACTAAGTAGTTTGATGCCAACAAACTAGAAACATGACAGCAATAATAAACCCAAGTGTTTGTTGATTATTAATGTTGACGTTGCCATCACGATTAAAATGACATACAATGGAGTTTTTCAGACTGGCACCAATCTGTTTAGGGTTGTGGCAAAGTATCAAATGATTCATGCTGAAAAATTGGATATCAAAGATGAAGGCAAAAAAGCAAATTAAATTATGCACTGGTATCAGAAATACGTTTGATGCCTCAAAGGAAAAGTAAAAAGTGAGACACTGTTGTCCCATTTTCCCACACAATTTTTTCCCCAATTTTGGTTACATATGGGTCACTGTATAAATTTCAGGTCCAATTTTGTGTGTGTCTGTCTCATATCTGACATACATTATATGTTAAAAACTCATCTCCAAGAGTTATTAATACAAATTATATGCCAAGCATAACAGGGATACAAGTCACACTTTTGGACCCAAAATTTATAAAATGACCTTTATGCCTGTTACCAGTAAATATACCTTCTAAAATAGGTGAGTTTGTTTTTTTTTTCAAAATATGAGAAAAGCTTTTACCCAATCTTTGTTTGAGGTATCATTTAAAGTAAAATCTTGCCCTTCGTACAGAAAACTGATATCTCAATGCATAATTTTGTAAAACTAGAATGATAATTTTAATATTGGTATCACAATTTATTTTCCTTTTGCAATGAATTCCATGTACGGATGCCACTACGTTTTCCATGCAGTAAACGATAGGCATAAGCCACCTAAAACCAATAACATGTCCTCAAAAGTCAATGTGGCAATTAAAACATTGAGATGCTTACTTCAAAAATACTTTTAGACCAATTTCATGGGGTAGGGGCATCCCTATATGGAATTCTTTCCTTCCTTTCTAGCAGTCATGGCATTCGATTTTTTTAAATTCTTAATGACAAGTTTTGATCATAAATCAAATGGTTTTGAATACCCACACAATCAATGTTCAAAGAGTATGTGACCCAAACAACTTTTATGTTCAGTTTTACCAAGCTTAGTTAATGGATCTGGCTTCTATTGAAAACACATTTAAGTGGAATGGATGTCAACTAGTAAATGTGAGGTGGTGGGATACAGAACTCTTGCCCCCCCCGGCACATTTTCATCAAACGTGTGATCATCGCTGATGCAACTTGGTTTTTTAAAGAGCAAAAGGGGAATAGTTAGTAGATTCTACCTATCACAATTATGAAGAAAGATGTCACTGGCATACAATGAATACATGGCAAAAAGCAGAAACCATTTCTTTTGTAGTTGTTTGATACTCCAAGAACAATTATTGAAATACTACATTTCTATTTGAATGGAACTGACAGAAATACAATGCAAATTTTGCAAAGTCAACAAATGAAAGGGAATGCACAAGTTTCATAGTCTTCCGAGTCACAGTGGTGCTGGTAAATGTAAAAAATGTAAGTTCTAAGAAATGCACACTTTTTAGAAGTGCCATACTTGGGCCCGGCCTTGTGCATGGCACTGCTCAAAATTTACTAAATGTCCCTCATTTAAGCCAATAATGGGAAATAGTGGAACTAGCGGAAGTATCTTTTTTTCAACAAACGAAAATAACAGGGTTGGCTTTCAAATCTTCAGAGGAAATATGAAAAAAAAGTTCATTTGTACGGCCATGGAGTTGAGCATTATCATGGAAGTACAAATACAAGGAAGACATTTTGGTGATTTACTGTAATTTCAAACCAAAAAATTAGCCTAGTTTAGCCACAACAGCCTATCTAGGTGTCCTTTCACATGTTCTCTGGCTTGCATGTGTAGCACTTGTAATGTTCATATTTTTCTCTGAACTGAGAAAACCTCCGAAAAACCTTATCAAACTCCACATAAATTCAATAGCCCCAACTAGATATTTAGCATGTGACAAACTATAAAATACAGATTACACTTTTATCTAAGAATGTAAAGACAAGTTATTTCGGGATATCATAAGGACTAATAGTAGAACTGTATATCAATGCTTGAAAGAAACAATTCCTTGCTTCTAAATATTCATGTATTTTTCCTTGCGCTATGCACACACAAAATAAGTTAGGTCGACATTTTTTTTATGGTGCACATTTACAGGCCTTTTTTGGGAGTTTTTGTTGGAAAATTTAGCCCAGGTGGACTCCCTGACCGTACTATGTAATGAAATGACGACAACGTCCTGCCTGGGCTAGGGAAAATGCAAACGCCAAGAAAAAGGCACAAGCTTCTAAACATTAATGTCTCAAGTCTCCTTTTCGCTTGTCCCATGTATTTCCAAGCATTTCAAAAACATCAATTTTGGGGTATCGGGCCTATTTGACTCAGTTCGTTTGCACAGCTTGGCTAATTCTGGCCCTTTCTTCCTACTGCAGTAACCTGCGGCAATAACTTACCTTCAGAACTTACCTCATTTCGCAGTACTTACGGACAAACAGCGTCACATTTGTTCAAGGTTTCCACTTCCAGGTGTAAGATGGAGAAACACTACCGTGGGAACACAGGCTGCAAGCTTTTGTCACCAGCAAGCTCCAAAGATGACATTTAGACAAGAAGGTTGAGAAGTGCACATGAAATTATCTTGAAACACACCACGCTGTAGTTCTAGAAACGTTCATAAAAATGGCGTCGACGAAACCCTGCGCTTAGTGCTGCACGCCAATAGTTTCTGCTCAGAACATACATTCCAAGTTACAATAACCTTTTTGTGTTTTTTAATATATGCAAGCCGGTCACACCTAAGAACGCTCAGTGACAAAAGAATTGCCCGTCACAGCGCTGATGAACCAATCAGCTGTCTTCAATGCCAAGTACCGACTTCCTTTAAAAATGTGGACATGAATTTTAGTTTGCTTGATTTTGGTGAAACTTCGAGATTTTTGTTTGACGATGTCACTACAACTGATGAGTCTAGGCGTTAAAAGGCTCTGACGATAACGACAAAATTTAAATGAGAAATGTTTAATGATCTCTAAATGATAACAAAGGAGAAGATGGAAAAACAGGGAAATATCAGTTAATTTGGCAGCACATTAAAAAGTGTTTAAAATATAGATAATAAGTGAAGCAAACCTAGTGTTCTCAATACATGTACATTGACACCTTTCACACTGTATGACAATGCCATGATTGTTTAAAACTTTGATAGGCCTACAATGTACGAGCAAGAAAAAATGACGAGAACATACAAGAAAATCGGATCAGGGAGGTCTTTTTTCTTTTTTTATACATCAAAGCCTTTTCTTTTGGCGGGAATGAAGAATGTCTTCAAGATAACGGAATTTAGACTTTTCCGACTTTATCGAAATGTGAAAAAGTATCTCCATCCTTTAGGCAAAGGTGCGAATACTGATTTTGAAAAGATTCGCTGTGGCAGGATATAACTTGGTACCTTGGAAAATTAGTCCTAATGTAATGAAAACGTCGTTCAGTCTAAGCTAAAGCGACTTAAAACTGTCCACACTGAGCCAAAATTTACAGGAAACTGACCACGCTGACAAATGACTGACCAATGAAGTTGGTATTACACACCAAGCAGAGTTCATTCTTCCTCGATTTTAGAGCCCGTGTAGCAAAGCAATTTAACTGGGAGCCTCGATGCAAATTGACACTAAACAAACCGCTATTTACAGCCTGAAATTCTCTATCTTTTTTGTTGTACTTCCATAATATTCTAGAACCTTATATTTAACGCGCTTGACTTTTTCATGTCACAAACCATACATATATGTAAAAGTTCCTGTTCGTGCATTTTTTTTTTATTTTTCACTGAATTACAAGTCTTCATAAAATCTCAATCCCAGTTACTACTGCCCAGAATTCCCCCACATTGTTACGCATGAGGAGTTTTTGTTTGCCTCTTGGTGCTTGATTTTGCCTATTGTTTAATTCTTGTATTGCCACGCTGGTTTGTCTCGAAAGTTTGTGTTGTTCTATTTAGTCAAAAGCAGAAATTTGCTGGTCCGAGATGGTAGCTTCTGCTAAAATACACCCCAGCACGTTGGGTGTGAATTATCACGAAGAGACAGCAGACTATTTCGTGCAAATGAACAGGCCTAATAGTCGAAGTCAAACACAATATGAAACGAACCCCATCAGATTGTGACATCTGTGTTTGGTAAGTCGGGCTATTAAAAGAAGCCAAACGATGAAAAGAATGTTTTCTTTTATATGTTTTATATCTTGACAATATTTTGGTCATCCCATTGTGATAAATCTATCATTTCACAATGTCCCCCAAAATTGAAAGTACCATTTGTTAAAATTTCTAGATCTCGGTTTGTATTTGACAAAACTCTTACAACTGAACACTGTTGCCAACAAAATTGATAGATTTAAAGAGGCAACACATGGAAACACATTAAAATTAAACAACAGACAACAAACAATTTTCTTCCACATTAATTTATTCTTAATTGTATAAACCACTATCTGGAAGGGTATCAAATGCATCCTTGCTCCCATGTAAACAAACAATTATGCACAATTTTAAAGGTCCATCAATTGAATTCCACTGTTTTTGTCAACTGTTACATTCAAGTCCAAGTGAGGTACACTGAGAACCTTAATACATGCAATCTCTTTACCCCGAGCCATTTGAAAAATGAACCAAATTAATGATTATTTTCTAGATTTCATGTGATTCACTAAACACTTCCTCTCTCCGAACAGACCAGGTTCATTTGGTTGACTAAATGAGACATTCTCATAACATGAAAAAAACACTGTAATCCTTTCTTACAAATTCCCAATGTTTAAAAATATTCTCACATGTATTCAATGAATAGAAAAACACAAAATGAATGACTTAGAGCAATGACTCCGCATAATTAAAAGTATTGGCATGGTATACAAAGACTAGCGGGGAAAGTGTGAACTATACAAAATAGATTATGTACACAGACAATGCTGTTAAAATAGTCCAGCAAATATATTGCAGGAATGACAAAAGTATGAAATGCAAGTGACATTTTATTCACAACATTTCAAAATATGGCCAAATAATATTATTTACACATGAGACACTACAGATATGTTCTTAATTTATTACACTCAGAATTAGCTGCAGTTTGATCTGATCTGTAACGGTTATGAAATTAGCTACTTTGAATCAATCACTGTTAAAATGGTTTAAAATGGTTTCGAAATGCAATAAAATTCAAATTTCAATTTGCCACCCAGTGATTGAATGTGGGCAAACTGTTTGCAACATTTACTAAAACGTCATACAATTAGAAATATGCCAGTAAGTTTTACTTTCCCATTTCATCAGGTTTGTTCTAATCATTCATGTGAGTACACCATAAAAACAATTACATTTCTCAAAAGGAAGCATTGTTCATAAATATGCCAAGGAATAACCCTTTGATACAAAATTTATCAATAAAAATATATTATGCACAAGTACTATCGTTCATACAAATTCTTCAGCCGTTTGTTCCAGATAAACCTTCTTAGGAGGACGAGAAGCAGCTCTGTCTTGGAGCAGTGCAATATCTACAAAGACACCCTCTAAGGTCTCAAACCGTGGACCCCAGTTGAGGAATTGGTCCCAGCTGAATTGTCCATTGGTCTTTTTGGGGTCCACATGCTCATCCTCTGAGGCAAAGAGGGTGCTGAGGGAACCCCCGACAGAGTCTAGTCCTTCCTTGGATTGGAAGGGTGCACTAAACTGTTCGTACGTTTCAGGTTCATCTCCTTCCTCGTCGTCCATCTGTGAGAGACCTGAGAGGAAGAGCCTCCCTGGATCTAGCTTCCTAGATTTCAGTTTTTCGGTGTCCGACTCAACCTCGGAGCAGGTGAATGAGCCGGCAGTCTCGTCCGAGGACGTCGACTCGGGCGGTTCGAGCAGTGGCGAGGGCTCGAGATCTGGTGGTAGGGGTGGGAGGTTGGAATGATGCTGGTGCTGCTGCTGCTGCTGTCGTTTGCTGCTGCTGACTGATGACAGGTTGTCTATCGTGCTGGCATGGCTGCCGCTCATCAGATCTGGCCGGGCTGTGTTGAGTCTCTTGACCTCTTCCACAGTCAAGCCCAGAGGCCTGCTGGCATCGACAGGAGAGGTTTCTTTTAGTCTGCTTGGAGGGCGGGGAGGTCTGTGTGCCCCAACATGTGCGGGTTGATCTCCCTGCCCACTTAGATGACTACTAATGTCACTTCGATGTCCCTGGCTACGCAGTTCACTCTGGTTATAGCTGTGCTCAGAGCCTATAGGGCTCGCAGCATTCCTTACTGGCGTGTTGGCCCTGCTGAGCCGCAGTGGTGTTGCAGAGCGACTACTTTCATTCTTAAGAAGCTGCAAGGAGGGGCTCTGGCGCATGGCTTGCAGCCCTGGGCTTTGTCGGGCTAAGGCATTGGCTGGACTAGCTCTAATGTTCTCCATGGGAGTACTGTGCTGCACATTACTAGGGCTGCTGCGTACATGCAGGGAGTTGGGGTTTGGATTGTGAGTAATATTGAGATGGTTTGAGGACACCTGACTCACTGGGCTCTCGCACGGTGGAGTGCCAATCCGAGCCAGCATAGGGTTTGGAGAGTACCGGTACCCATGGCGCTTTTGTTTGCGTTCTCGCCCATCATGGTAATACCTGTAATGATAGGCTGGCTCAATGTCCGAGGGGGCAATACTACTGGCATTTTCCAGATCATAGTGCTCTGGTGCTTCCTGATCCCGACCTGATGCCTCTTCGCCAATGACGACATCGTCAGAGTCCACGATGAAGGATTCCTCGGGCATGCCACTGAAGGTATTCTGTTCGATGATGTCCGGTTGCTGGCTGATGAGCTCTGCCCCGTTGCCTGTCTTGTTGTGCTGTGACCCAATCATGGTCGGGTTGTCAAAGGTGTCAGCGCTGAAGCCAGGGTTGTCAAGTGAATCCATGGAGAAGTTGGTCTTGGAGTTGCCGGTGGCAATCTCCTTGGCCTTCCGAGCCTTGTTGCGGTAGCGCCGCAGCAGCAAGAGACAGCCCACTATGATCACAATGACCACAAAGGCAAACACACTGACGAGGACAATCACCAGTGTGTTGTCGCTCTCAGGAGGACCTGTGCTTGGTATCTTGCAATCCTCTCCGGTGAACCCTGCCTTGCACTCACACCTGAAACCATCGCCATCCACCATACAGATCTGGTCAACTAGGCATGGGTTGGGGGAGCAAACATCTATTCCATCACAACCCTCCCCAGTGTTCTCAGATGGTACAGCTTCGAACATGTCATTGGCACCATCCAGTGGAAGAGCTGCCCCATTGATTTTGAAGTTCTCAAGGCATCCAGAAAAGGCTGAAATTTAATGTAGACACACAAATATGACTTAGAAAATGCATGTATGAAAATATGAACAATTCCACTGACCACAGTAATATTATCATTGATCATTGCAGCGGCCCCCGCCAATGACAGTTAGCACTATGAAGACTACTGTGCAGAGCCACTGCTCTGCAAGAGTTGCCCCATAAACAAACCAACACAAAGCTTTCTACCATTAAAAGGGGGCCATCCCAAATGTCCTGTGAAATGTCACTGGACTCTTGTACACAAAGTATCCATTCACTATAAGACGGCATGAGCTGTGCAGACATGAAATATGAGCAAAATTGTTTTCTATGGATAACAAGACAGAAACTATCGTCAAGCAGTTCATTTATCAAGCAGTACATTACAGTATCCACGAACACTACTGTATCCAAGTACAGTATATACTGTGCACTGTGATGTGCATTTGATCCACAAAACATAGATCAGCAAACTATCACTTTAAACTGCTGGTACATATTGTCATACAGAAAATGTCTTAAATTCCTCCAATTGACCATCAGTCCCCTGGTAAATTTTTTACCAACCCAAATGAATGCTTGAAATACTGAGGTTGAAAAAGAACGTACCAGTTACATCCGTGCCATCAATCACTACAGGAGTCTTTGTGCCACCGAGGGACATGCTAGTTACTTCCAGAGCCGTGAAGTCATGCGGGATTGGGTTGAACCGCTGAGATTCTGTCTGGTCTCCACTCTCTAGAGTGATTGTGGCACCCTCTCTGTACAGGTTGATGGTGTGCCACTTCCAGTTTGCAACATTCTTGGCAAGGCTGACAGAGCCCTTGGTTTGGCCAGACGAGCCAAAATGATACTGGACAGTGCTGTTGATGACCTGCAACATGTAAGAAAGGATAGCTAGTTGGTGATCAAGTCATGTCTGCTCTGAAAATTATATGCCTAGATTGCATGAAGTTGGGTATGAGTGTCATTCCAACAATGGTTCTGTAACATCATCTGTGAGCATTAATGTAAAGTAAATAACCTTTCATTTTGTCTTCATTACTACGAGTTAATGCTTCCAAACCTTAATCACACAACATTCAAAATTCAAATTGCAGTAAGCAAAATTTCGTAACACATTTTCTACAAATGCAAGGATCAGTAAGGTGTAATTATAACACCTGTCATCTTTCCAACTGTCCTTATAAAAGAGCACCCAAAAGGCTCATGGAAGAAGATAGTGCACATTTCCAAGGCATAGAAAATGCCTACTTAATCAAACCTTGAAGGTGATTCTTGTAATTTTTGATGCAATGACTGCATTAGCAATTTTAATGTAATAATTGCATTGCAGTGCTTCATGTGAATTTTTACTTTTACGACATTAAAAAAATAAATATAATCATCAATAGATTACTGACCAGTGAAACATATAATGCTAATGCATCAACCTGTGAGCAGTTTTTATTTGGTAATCTTTATATTGTAAGCAATGAGCATGGAAGTACTTTGAAATTGGGTCCAGCTGCTCGGAGGTGTCACCCAGCAGATGACCTAATGACTTACCCGGAGCGTTGTGAAGTCATCTCCAGACTCCACGAGCAGCAGCAAGCCGGTTGGTGATCCAGTCCTGAAGGACATGGAGATGGTCTGTGATCCTGGTGGCGTTTCACGCCGCCGCCTCCTCCCACTGGGATTTTCTTTGGCTGCATCCAACAGTTGCTGTCGGCGGAAGCTCTCTTTGACCACGTACTCCACGTAGCTTCCACCCCCAAAAGAAAATGGCGTGGGCACTGAAAGACAATAACATAAGCAATTGGGTGTAATTACCCAGCCAAATTACTATGTGTTTCAAACTCAGCTCATTGCTACATTCTACGGATTTTAAAACATTTGCATATTTTCATACGACAATGAGAAACCTTTAAAGGAAATTTTAACAGATGATATTAGTTTAAAAATTAAAACAAAATTAAAACCTGTTTAAATTGACAGACTGGACCTAATTTCATGGTACTTCTTATTAGTTAATAGAAAACTTGTGCTTACTGTAGCATGAAATTTTGCTAACCTTACTTTATGCTAACTATAGCATAAACTTTTGTTAACAGTAAGGCACTGTTACATGGCAGTGCTTGATATGGCTGTGCTAGTAGATGTGCGATCATAGAGATTTCCATCATCACATCATTTAGTAAAAGCATTTTCTTTTTAGAGGTACGAGTGTTTTTAGCTCTGCTTACTGCTTACAATCTCCATGAAACATGTGTAGCCTCTGTGAGCATACAAATTGTGTGCTTAGCAGTGCCACAAATTAGGCTCTAGTCTTTGAATATCCCATTCGCAGCACTGATATATAAGCGAAAAAGCAGAGAGTAGTCACTAAGCAATTTATATCAAGAATTGTAGCCTATGAAATGCATGTTCATCTGAAAGTCCCTAATAACGTTTCAGCATTAACAAACAGGAAAAAGACATGATCCATTTTCATCAAAGCAGCCTGCTAATTGAGTTTTTCCTCAGATATGCTCCCATTTACCATGTGGCTATGACTAGAACAACCCAATGAGGAAACAAACATCTCCTGAGTGCACCTACACCCTAGGAATCAATTTTGGTGACGATGCCTCACCTTTGTCGCAATTAGCTCCGGTAAAGCCTTCCTCACATTTGCACCAATGATTCCACCACTCGTCCACACACACACTGCTGCCACTGCAGGGACTGCTGCTGCATGTCTCAGTGTCTCGGTCACAACCCTGGCCGGTGCCCCGCTCAGCCAGTGGAGCGGAGAGATCCAGGGCACTGCCGTTGACCGAGACTTCCCGGATGCAGCCGAGGAAGTCGGCGGAGGAGACTTGCCAGGCGCGGGGCAGGATGGTGTCAATGGACATCGTGCCTCCCAGGCTCATGGGCACACCATTCAGATCAAGACCGCTGAAATGAGGACATTTGTACAAATGAATCCCCCCCCAAAACAGAAAATCTAACGGTGTTCTAGTTGAGACTATTCGCAAGTCCTTTCACAAGACTAATCACAAGTAACAGGGTGAACAGTGACAAAGGAATGCTTCAGTGGTGGTTAATTTAAGTAGTTTGTGACTTGAATTCAGACTGGAGATCTTTTGCTGGTCTTGTGAGTAGGGTTTTGTGATGGTCCTCAGGTCTCGAATACAACACTACAATCTCATGGTAAAAATGAGTGGCTTGATAAGAAGAAAGAGAAGGGATGACACCATCATGTCCACTAAAGATGCGTAACTCTCCTGTCTTCAAATTTCAACTTAGTATCCAGTTTGCCCAATAAATAAATACAATCCTGACACACAGGATTCTGTCTTTAATTATGCATCACGCCAACTGGATATTTCCAGGGTCTGAGGTAAAGAGTCTTTTCCGGCAACAACACCACCATCAAGTGAAAATTACAGCTTTAAAACATGCCTAACAAAGAAAAGGTTCAGAAGGACATTCAGAGCCATGAGCAGAACTCATGATTAGTCACTCATTATTGAAGGTACAAATAGCCTACTTCTGTTCCCTCTTTCTGCAAGGGGAACAAACAGGATTTCCCAAGAGCTTTGTCCCCACTATTTTTGCAGAACTGTCTGGCAAAACTACTTACATTTGGCTTCCTGTCCCACCAGAGGCTCTGCAGGTACCAGCTGGGGATAACATGGAACAGTCATCAACTATTAACTCTCCGTCCTGTAAAGAAATGTTCACATACATGTACATTACCACAAATTTATTCTAAGTTTCTGTAATATATAACATTACAACCTTGTATCAATACTGATATATAGCATATTGTAATGATATACAGTATCAATACTGATATATAGCATATTGTGATGATATACAGTATCAATACTGATATATAGCATATTGTGATGATATACAATATATATATTAACTATTTAATAATTTATTTACTTACACACACTCCCTGAACTACAGATTTGCTTCAGTCTTTCACATATAAATCCAATGATTGAGCATAATCCATCTCATCTTTGAACATGTATTATTATAGCTATAATACTGTAATAGATGTTACAAATGCAAATGAATTGAAATGGCTCTGCTTCACTACAGCTTCAGTCATTATTCTCCTTCTTTTACCAGAAGCTGGATTCAAGTGCTATCCTTTTTGGCAAATCCCAAAAGGCATTTCCCCAGAAGTAAAACAAATCACTTAGAAGCAAGAAAGTGCAATGCTACATTTGTTATCAGATTCAAAGCCCCAAAGAGTCCGAAAACAAATAACCCGTTTCTATGTCTAACGAGGGGTATTCGTGCCCTGGATCCCATTCGGTGTCAAACACAGAGCTGGGGGCCTGCATGGATGAATGGGAGCGATGAAGGACAGATATTGCAAAAGCAGTACATGTAATATGGCAGCAGGTTCAATTCAGTAGCACAGATAGGAACCTGACTGTCTAGACTATGTGGATATACTTGACAATCCATGACCAAAGTGACGAAAACCACTTTTTGCACAACCAAGTCAAAAAATGAGATACCAATTTCACAATGACTGTAGCTAGTCCACAGTTTGGAAAGACAAAATGGAGGAAATCATTCTTCAGAAATCTATCAGCAATTGACAAGGTTATTTCAGAATGTCCTTCCTAAAACCTGTTAAAATACTGGACTGAGGAGCAAGTATGCCACAGGGCAGATCGGTCTAATTACAGAAATATCACAACATGCAGTTCCTTTCCCCTGATGGATAATATGTTTCCTTTTGGAATGCTAATGCAGGGTGAATTTTTTTGGTGTGTTTTGAGTGCGCCATGTATCTTGACACCCAACTTGATTTGTCACAACAGGTGATTGTTACTAGTGGTCTACGTGCAGCACAGCAGGACTGCTCCATTCTCGGGGGATTCTCACTGCACTAGGACCCATTAACACCAATTTCTTCCATTGCAGGCCATGCAGATTAGCGTCTCTCATTACAACAAAATGCTTGATTTGTGGTCCTCCCCGCAAGTTGACAGACCAGGGGATTTGCAGGTTGTTCTGTGCCATAATGACGAAATAGCAAACCCTTCAGGGACCTGTGAAACCAACTTCTTGTTGGGCAAACAAAGCAAGGTTTGCACCTCCAGACTGCTTGTGTCACTTGGCTCCAATCTGCACCCTGCCCATCACATGAATTGCAGTACATGTAAGGTGCACTTTCCATGGCATTTGCTACTTTTTAAAAATGTTACTGCGTCAACTCAGTTAAGGCTGACCACACACGTCTTTGCATCCAACATAAAAAGTGTCTACCGTGAACACAGCTCTCCACTCTTTGCTTTCTTCTACTCTTCTACCTCCCTCAACCCAGTCTATCCCTTTAATACTCCAGCACACCTCGACAGGAGCCTTAACCATACAGCGTAGACTTGACCAGGGAGTGAACTCCATAAATAACGCAGCTGCTTTTGTTTGTGAATGTAGCGGAGGACGGTATCTCTATGAACTTGCCAAAGTGAAGTAGAACTCACTGGCATTTTTCCATCACCGGGCAAATATCACAGCTTACATGAGAGACAGAAAAAGAATCCTCTAAAGACTAATAAAAAGTCCATGTATATGAAGATTTAGTATTAAGTTGAGGTTTACTGACAGTTTTAAGCCACAAGCATTTTCAACTAATCTTCACTGGTATTTTCTGCCTATTTGTAAATGAAAATATATAGCTCCTTCAAGAAACAAATGACCAATTAGCATTCCAACTAATCAAAACCTGAAAGGGCTTTCTCAGCATCTAACTGTGCAAAAATTATTCAAAAAATCTTGCAACAAAAGTATACAGATTTGCAAGTCTGATCCTTTTCAAATATTGTCTGGTTTCTCAATGTGGAATAAATTATGAAAGCTGATCGTACTTTTGATTCATGTGTCATCTTTCAGGAGGTAATCAGTAAAAGCAACTACTGGCATATGCACAGTTGTTCTGCATTCAGGTGACTTATTGTTGGCATAATCATTCTTCTGAAGACAAGTAACAGAGACAGCTTTCAAGTTAGATCCGAAAACTCTTCCCACGGCAACCACACCAAAAAATTACTCAGGATGAATGACTTTGTAAGTAGCGATATGGAAACAACCATCTAAACTTGTTTGATGCCGGTCATGTTGCAAACAATCATCTGAAAAACAGGAAAACTGAATAAGATTTTTTCTGCGTCTGTTAATTTTCAGTTTTAATATCCAAATCTGATTTAAAATACTTGGAAAATCATAGTTTGGAAGGTAACCCCACATAGGAAACATGACATGAATATAATGCTCCACCAGATTTCAACAAAATTCAATTGAATCCCTAATTTAACTGACTATCAACACAAAATCAAGAGTAAGACTGATACACAACCACCATCTTGTTCAATCCTAGGACCTCACCGAACTTATCTCTTTCATCATACTACAAGCAGGCCTGGTTTTTGTGAACCAGACCACAGGTTGCTGTTACCAACACTTCGGTTTTGTGCACTATGAAACACAGGACGAATTTTGAACCCTGTCTGGCATGACATTCATGCCCTGCACCGGGCTGATTTATGATGCTCTTGGGAAGAATGCCAGCTGTAGGACTTTTCTCGGGGATTTCAATTCTCCTAATTTAAAGGGATTAAGCTCAGGTACTCTATCCTGTGCTGCTGGGTTCAACATAATCTCTGAAATGTGTTCATTTCCTTTGGTCCATTTTTAAATCCACTGAACTTGTACAAAAGAACAGTGGCTGGTCTTCAACAGGAAAGCCACTTTGAAGACTTATAAGATTTATCATCAGTTCATCAACTCATTTCTTCAATAATTTCCTTCCATTAACCCTAACTAACAAAAGACCCCACCCCAAAATCAAACACCTGATGACTAGCAGTTTGAAAGGCTTGGGAAAGAAAGAAAGCCCTAATTATTATTCCTCAGCCTTGGACAAACAGAAATAGCATTACTTTGTTTCGATAGATGAGACTGTGCCACTGAATAATTTTGCTCCAGAAAGTGAAAGAAATGAAACCATCCTTCAGAAAATTCTGTGCACTTACAAATGACATCTTGTGCAGAATCGTTTTCACTTCTATTCATTTATTTGTGCTCTTAAACATCCCCTTACTGAATTCTGCAAAATGCTGAATTCCCTTTGAAGTTCAAACTAAGAAATTCCAGGAATTCTTTCATGTTTTCCACAAAAGCATCTAGTCACATCTCCTTGCGTGCCTCGTTATCCATTAACCCTTTTTCACCAGGCTTGATTTTGCAATTTGGCCCCTTTCTGTATTGCGGCTTCCCCCCCCCCTCAAAAGGCCATACAAACCATAGGGGACATTCCCATCAGGGAGTCAGATGATTTCCCATAATTCTGGGAGACAGAGTAAACATTTATACATGACACTGCACTTTCTGGTAAAAGAGGTTTACACCGAGAAGACCTTTCTTGGCTCACTGGTCATTGATACAGAGTAAAATGGGGAAAGGCATGGATGGCCAGGACACCATTAGCAACGTGTGATAAATCCATCATGACGTGGTAATTATGCGTCACCTGCCAGTTTCATGTCTTCATCCTTTGTCAGGTTTATTAGCCCCGGGGTCAGCCCTTCTAAACATGGGGACCTCTACACGGGATGCCTTATTGTTCTTTTATAAACAGACACCAAGTTTTATCACTTGGACCTGAACTCTCAAGTGTAAAGGGGAGTGGCTGCGAAATGTCGTGTCAGCCCAAGTCACCACTTTTGATACCAAGGTGGCATTCAACAAAATTGGTGTAAATTAGTGAAATTATGAGCCCTCCAGTGCCGGATCAGTTACCCAGTTGGATATTTAATGCCTGAAAATATCACCCAATATTTGGAAATTCTTGCACCAACAGCCATGAATCTATTTTACCATCAAGTTTCTACACGTACATGTAATTTGGCATTTAACAAATAAGTAATTTGATTAAAAAAGAGATTACAATCACACCTAATGACTTCATCACATTCTGAGTAACAGCTATCAGAAAATCTGCAATGGGACTAGATCATATAACCAAACTGAAATATAATGGAGACAGTTAGCAAGTCTACACAGCTGATTTTCCTATGTTAAACTGAAGGGTATTACTCAATAGCGATGCCAAAGTGGGATGAAATAATTTTTTTCTTTAAAGAAAACGTCCAAAATTACCAAATGATAATTTATAAAAAAGCATTGATATTGGGCAACAAAGAATGACTAGAAAACCCTGACGATGAGAAATCATTTATATAATTATGTCAGATCTGTATGGATTACAAGGTTTTTTAATTCATTTTTGCCGATACATGATCCCTTGTACATTACTCAAAATTTGCAGGCATTTCCTATTTAATTATCTATCATCCTGCAAAGATATTTACTCACTTACTACATTTACTCACCTTGCCAATACGTCTAGCTTCCACCTTGTGCCACTGTCCATCAGCGACCATCTTTTCAGTTGTTATCACGGTGACACCATCTCCCAGGTTGTAAGAAAACTGTACCTTGCCAGCCACAACCTCCAGGGTCAGGAATTCTGCATCTGCAGTGGATTTTCCGTCATGGTTGTAGATGAGGAGTGCATTGGGCAAGACTGTGGTGAAATGCAGGGTTATGATGTTCTGTTCAGGGGACAGCACTGGAAATTCCATGTAGGAGCCTTGTTGGAACCCAATGCTGGTGATCTCACAGATGTCACCTGATTCACCGTACTGGCACTCACATCTGAAGCTGCTGCCCTCCTCAATACAGGTGCCTCCATTCTGGCAGGGCTGCAAGGCACAGGGACCATTCTGGCAGTTTTTCCCACTGTAGCCTTCAGTGCAGTGGCAGGAGTAGCCATTCACCAAGTCCTCACAGACGCCGTTATTCAAACAGGGTCCGTCCGCACAATCATCGATGTTAGTGCCGCACTGCTTGCCAGTGTAGCCCAGGGGGCACGAACAGCGGTAGTCACCAATCAGGTCGGTGCACACACCTCCATTCAGACATGGATCTGGATCACACTGATTGATCTGCTCTTCGCAAAACTCTCCAAAGAATTCACCCTGGCAAATGCAGCGGAAGACACGCTTTATTGATGGAGTAACAAAGATGATTGAGGAACTGTCAGTAATGACGGTAGTGTGCCTCAGTTCAATGCGATCTTGACATGTTCCAGAATTTCTGCAAGGGTTAGGCGAGCAAGGGGAATAGTCTACTTCTTCAATGCTTACTCCTGATTGACTAGTAATTGTTGATTTGTGGTCAGTGATCAGCTTGGCTACCTCTTCACGAGCCAAGTACACTGAATCTCTTTTGATGGCTAGGATTAAGTCCATCTTGGTGGCATCGTCCTCGACATTGTTCAAACTCAAAATGAGCAGTGTCTCTCGAGTACTGAGGTATGAGGACACAGAGGCGGAGAAGCGATCAAAGTGGTTTGACAGGAAAGTCTCGGGCACAACATCAGAAAGTCGGATGGCGATGCTATCAGTAAGTGAGGCATTGTTGAAGGCTCTGAAGGAGACATCAAAATTTGAAGTGACACTTGAATGTTGACCATCATTTCCAGAGATCACCAAATCATAGTCAGATTCTGTGGAATGCATTCTGGAGTTGAGGACACAACCGGGCTGCAAAGAAAATATGTTCAAGTCTCCACTAACAATCTGACAAACAAAGACATCGCCGGTATCAAGATCGATGGGTCTGACAACTCCAAGAGAGCCACCAGGGAACACAGATTGATAGGCTTTGACCTCAATGCGTGCATCACGTTCAGAAGAAGGATTATCATTCTGGTCCACCACAATGATATGGATGGTTGATACAGCCGTCATCTCTGGCATGCCACCGTCTCGACTTTCAATGGAGAGATAATAGTCACTCTTGACCTCTCGATCCAGGGTACGAGTTGTTCGCAGGACATTAGTGCCGGATTCCAGTGTGAAAGATGGACTGTCAGCATTGGGGACCAGGATGAACGTGAACAGAGCAGGGTTGGAGTTGAGATCTGGATCAGTGGCATTCAATGTCATGACAACAGTGTTGCTGGCTTCATTTTCAGAAATATAGCCCACGTCATTTCCGGGAAGAAATATCGGGCCGTTATCGTTGACATCATCTACATCAACAACTACTTCTGTGTAGCCTGTTTTGGGTGGCACACCAGTGTCAATGGCACCAACTTGCAGCCTGTATGTTGCTACAGTCTCCCGATCAAGTGTTGAAGCAACAGTGATTATTCCAGAAACTGCATCTATCTCAAATGCGCTAAGTTGATTTCCGTCAACAATTGCGTAAGAGAACTGCCGAAAGTTATTGTTCTGGTCGTATTCAACAGCCGTGACTGTGGTGACATAAGTTCCAACTCCATCAACTTCACTAACCCTGGCTTGGTAGAGATCATCTACAAATTGTGGAGGATCATTTGCATCAAGTATGGTAACAGTGACCTGGACTTCATCCACATTGTCTCCCGTGATTGGTTCATTGTTCCTGGCAAGCACTGACAGCAAGACGGTGTCCTCGGTCTCCCTGTCAAGCCGTCCATTTGCCCAGGAGACAATGATCTCCCCACTGTGGGGCTCAATGGCAAAACCCTTACGATTGCTGGCACCGATAAGAAGGTACTGGACCTGTCCATCCGGTCCATGATCTGCATCACTGGCATAAACCATCCCCACCACTTGTCTGTCGGCTGCAGCCTCGCTGACAGAGAACTGGTAAGACGGCTGGCCAAACTGGGGATAGAACTCATTCACTCCTGTCAGCTCAACTGTGACGTGGGCCCTGCCAACCATGGTTGTATCCTCATTGGCAGCCACAACAGACAGTTGGAAGACAGTCAAACCTCTCTCAAAATCCAACTCACCCTGAGTGCGAATCACTCCAGTGTTGCGATTGATGGTGAAGGAGTCCTCGCCATCACCCCCAATGATGTCGTAAGTGAATTCGGCATTTATGCTACTATCTGCATCTGTGGCTGTAACTGTTGTGACGTATGTTCCACTCGGAGAGTTCTCTGCCACTTGAGGTCTGTACTGATTTGGATTGAAGATCGGAGGGTTGTCATCCACGTCCAAGAGATTGACTGTGAGAATGGTGTTGCCTTCCTTGCTCTGCCATCCCTGATCCCTTGCCTTGATCTGGATGGTGTGTGATGTGAATTCCTCATAGTCAAGAGCTTTAGCCACTGTGACTGATCCTGTGTCCTCTCCTATAGCAAACAGACCAGCTTCATTACCACCGATGATGGAGTAGGAAAGCCTTCCATTCACACCTGTGTCTCCATCATTAGCAGTTACAACGGTAACCTCTGACCCTACTGGCAAGTCTTCAACCACTGAAGCCACATAGCTTGATTGGTCAAATGCTGGAGTATTGTCATTGCTACCAGTGACAAGAAGCTGTACATTGACTTGTGTACTTAGTGGTGCTGGTCGCCCCTGGTCCTCTGCCTCAACTATGATGTCATAATAGTTTCCTATGTCAGATTGGAGACTCAATTTGACTTTAATCCAGCCTGAATCCTGATCAATGTCAAAGCGGGATGAGCCATTACCTCCAATGATTGTATACTGGATCTGGGCATTCTGTCCCTGGTCTGAGCTCTCTGTGGCAACAACCTGGAGAATGGAGGTGTCCACGGCAGTATTGGATGGCACAGGAGAGAAATAGTCAGTCTCCTCGAAGACTGGGGGATACTCGTTGGCATCGTAGATGGTCACAGTGACCTGGACTTCAGAGTACAGTGAAGGTACTCCTAGGTCCCTAGCCAGCACTTGGAGGTGGTACACATTGGGATCTGAGGAGCCAACAGGCTGGATGTAGTCCACTGGGGTACTGATGGTGATGTAACCTGTGTCTTCATTAATGATGAAATGGTCAGACATGGTTTTCATGGTATAGAAAACATCCTGGTTAACTCCGGCATCCAGGTCTTGCGCGCTGACTTGCGCAGCAGCAGATCCTGCTGGTAACCCTTCGGGAAGGCTGACACTGTACGATGGCTGAAGGAATGCTGGTGCATTGTCATTGACATCAGATATGGTAATGGTCACAGTGGTGTCCTTTCTGTAAGACCCATCATCTGCCGAGACATCAAGCTGATACTGACTTGTCGCCTCTCTGTCTAGGGTCCCATTGACTCGTATCTGCCCTGTAACTGGATCAATGGCAAACAAACTGCCTCCACCATCAGTTATTGCATATTCAACATTCTTCACAGTGTCTGGATCAGTAGTTGTTATGGTAACCACTCTGGTATTGACAGGTGAGTTCTCAGGTACTGTTGCACTGAACAAATTGGTAAAGCTGACAGGACTGTCATTGATATCCTCGACAGTAACATGCACTGTTACCACTGTGGTTTTGGCAGGGCTACCTTGGTCCTGAGCCTGTACCATCAACGTGTACTCAGGCACTGTCTCACGATCGAGGCCTCTGTTCGTCTCCAGCCATCCGGAGGCAGGGTCAATGCGGAAGTTGTTGTTGGTATTGCCATCAAACCGCAGAGCATATTGGATATTGCCGAAAGTCCCGCTGTCCGCATCTGTCGCCTGAACTTGTATGACACTGGTTCCAGCTGGCTGGCCTTCTATCACTCTGCCGCTGTATTTTGCCAAATCAAAAACTGGGAAATTATCATTTACGTCATTCACGTTTACCACGATCTGTATTGAAGTGGTTAAAGGTGGGCTGCTGCCATCACGTGCTTCAAGCAGGAGTGAATAATGCTGGTTGACCTCATAATCTAAACCCCTAGCAATAGTCAGCAAACCACTCTGAGCATCTAAGTCAAATCTGTTCTCTATGTTCCCTCCCGTTATGTGGTAGGTCACAGTTCCCTCTGGTCCAGTCTTCGGACTGGACGCTTGCAGAGTCACCACCTCTGTGCCATTTGCTACATCCTCATCAAATTGGTACACAGTGCCGCTTGATGGACTCTGAAACGATGGGAATTGGCTTGATGTACTGAATGTGACTTGCACCATCGCTGTGGCAGCTGCATGGGTTGGACTGCTATCAGATACGGACACCTCAAGAATGTAAGCTGTACTCTCCAAGGTCAGGGCCTGTGCTGTTGTGATGACACCAGTACTGGCATCTATTGCAAATTTATTTGTGTCACCACTGGTGATGGAATAAGTCAGCACTGCGTTGTCACCGATGTCAGCATCCTGGGCCTCAACACCCAGTACAATTGCACCTGGAAACAAGAAAAATGATGCATAGAGAAAATGACTACTGAAATTATATGCGCAACTGGCTGGAATAAATTAAAGAAGTGTGAAAGAGCTATCAAAACCCATAATTCTTCCGAAAAGAAAAAACAATCTGAAGTTTTGGCTTCAGAGGTGTACCTAATATGAAATTCTGATCTGCCCGACATATGTAAAGCATTTCCTTGAGACTGCCAACGTTTAATCTCTCTGTCAACTACAGTACATGGACACCTCCACAAAAACAAGTTGGAACCTAAATGGATAGGGTGAAACACTGGCAACACCAACCTGCTGGAGTGGTTGCAGGCAGCAGGGCTTGATAGCTCTGAATCACAAAACGTGGGGCATTGTCATTGATGTCCTGAAGGTTGACTCTGACAGTAGTCTGTCTTGTCCAGGTGCCGCCATCCTCCACAGTGACAGTGATGAAATAGTTGGCTTGTTCTTCTCTGTCTAATCGGCCAGACGTGGTCAGGATCTGCCCCGAGATTGGATTGATTGTGAACTTGTTCCCAATGGCAGAGTCCAGTCTGTATCTGTGTGTTGAGAACAGAAAAATTATATGCTGTTTGTTTCCAGTTGTTAATTTGTTTGATGCAAGCTGTAAAAGTCAAGTTTGCTATTTGGTGAACTAGTTTAAAAAGCTTTCTTGAAAGTTTATAGGGCCTACAGTCTTTTGCATGAAAGGGGAAACTAAACTTGGATTTCACAGTTTCACTCATGCTGTCAACCTGTACAAATGTTTCATTTATGACACCCATCAACTGCTGAATGCAATGGTAGTAGGATAAAGCAATTTAGTGCCAAGTCACTCACTTTCTAGAACTACTGATGGACTCTTATGATAACAAGTTAGCAAAGATGCTTTTCTTGGGGAATTCTGAATTACAAATGTTACTCTGTTATGTTTGTATCCTTTTTTCCCTAAGTAGTTGTATGTCCGATTCAAATTTCTGAATCCCGGAAAGTTGTAGTTTGATAATTTAGCACCAACAAATAACCTTATCTCTTCAAACTTAATAAAAGATGATATAATATCTTGACTAGGACAAAACAAAAACAGACAAGGAAGTTGCAATGCCCTTCTTCTTCTCTTTCTTTCACTCTCTCTCTCTCTCTCTTTCCCTAAACACGGACAGTAGTGGCCACTCAAGTAGAGGGCTACAGGAAAAAGAAATAGAAAGCAAAAGCGGATGAGAGAAAAAGGAGGGTATTTCTATGACAAGAAATGATCACCGTACCTCAAATCTGCCGTGGAGTCAGCATCAGTAGCACTGACTTGGAGGACTGGAGTGTTAGAGCCTACTTCCTCCTGTAAGGTCACAGTGTAGCTGGGCAGTTCAAACTGTGGGGGATTGTCATTGTCATCAGTCACCGTGATGACAATGTCAGTAGAACCCTGACGAGGCGGACTCCCTGCAGGTGGTGTGAAACGACATAGAGGATATCCATTTTAATACTTGAGAAACTTGTGAAGAGGAAGTGTCTGTTATGAAACACCTGCAGGCCAAAGCCCATCCAAAAATCCCCCGAAAATTTCTTCCGGCAAACCTTGAAAAAGAAAAATCCTATGAGTAAGATCAGACAGGGGTAAAAATGAGCGCAACTCAGTGCACCCATAATTGATGATATCCTAGGTGAAATTAACCTTGCAGATTAATTATAAGCAACTCACACACAAAGCCACAGATTTAAGATATCAACCTCCAGGCTAAACACAACTTTACTTCCTAAGTACACATGCAAGTATCTTTAAACAAACGTTTTACAAGCTAAGAAACACATATTAAGACTGTGATCTCTACAGATTCTACTGAGGATATACCCGTAGTGTTCCAGCAAGTTTTTCTTTCCTGGCAGTTCATTTCTATTGAACCTTCAGCTCAGAACTCACAGACCTAAACTACCTTTAAATTGGCAAAAGACAGATTTACACTTGTTTCATACACCTCCCTTTAATAGAGAAATCTTTCAAGACTTTCAGTCACTTTATCTGAAAACCACCAGCCACCCATAGTTAACTGGTCCCTGCAGACCTGGAGGGAAGCCAGCCAGAATACAAAGAGAAAGATCCCCCTCTGATTTATTTCTGTACTTAGGCCAGATCAATTCCAGAGAAAGAAATGCTATGGAGGCTGATTTCAGTTCCCCTGGGCCCAATAATATCATTTTCTGCCACCTATTTTACTACAAGCTAGCAGTAAAATATTTCTGCCCCTCTTTTTACTACGTTGTCTCGGTCACGTATACCACTGCCTTTTTGAACCTGATGACTTTGGAGCCATTGACAAGCCCTGAGTCTGCTCCCTTGTCCCTTCCTCAAACAGAGACACCCAGTGAGGGGAAAAAACCCAAAGCCCCAGGTCAACCTCAGCCCAAAATGTTCAGCTCTCAATATTTGATTCTTTATTCCATTGGAAATAAATTTCACAACTGGGTCATGTTTGCCACTTGAAGCACACACTGTTTGTTTGAGTAAACATTCAGACGTTAATACAAATTTAAATAATTTATACAAGTGGGTCCTGTTTTTCTAGGGCGACTCTAAGTAAATAAACAGGCTTGTTCTGAAATGTAACTAGTGCACTGTACTTGAAAATAACAAGTTGACTTATTTATGTCTCCACTCTGCGAGGTGGGAATGGAATTTCATGATTTATGACGCCGCGTTAATTTTATTGAGAAACTGGTGTCTTTGGGGTCATCTAATGGAAAGACGGGAAACAAGTGAATGACCTCTGAGATGTTGTACTGCTGGGAGAGAATCTTTTCCATTTATCCATTTTCTTGAACACCATATATTTCTGTGTGTGTGTGTGTGTTTTACTGGTTTTTACTGCAAATAATAAAACGTTGTAAAACCACAAGAATTTCATTGTGTAACACCCACTGGTGGGAGTGATCTGCAAAGTCCAGGTACTGGTAGCATATTCCCACTAGGCTTATTCTTACTACAGCAAACCCCACTCAAGTTGGTCAGGGTACACATTTTTGTTAGTGTTTCAAAACTAGCAAAACTAGGGCCACTTCATGACAGCACTGCTAAGCTGGGAAATTCACTCAGCACAGAAAATGGGTTACCAACCAAGAGACCACAGAACAGTTAGCCTTGGTCAAGGTGTTCATCATTCGTCCCAGTGCATGCTAAGCAGAGTGCACCAGCCGCTCGAACTCAAGGCGAAGGGCGACCTCACGCAGTCTAAGATATATGCAAATCAGCTGAACCAGGATGAACGCCTTGTTGCAACCGTCCGCGAAAGCTGTATTAGGCGGTGCGCATTATGCAAATGACAAGAGCCAATATTTTAAAGATGCTTTTGGATTGGTTCACATTAGTAAGTGCATAATTCAAGTCAGTCGTAGAGCGAAAGGTTAACTGAACGCACATGTGGCTATACCGGTACATGTACATGACAAGTCAACAATATAAATTTTGCCAGCTGATCAGAGTAATCGGAGATCAAGTTCACCTTTGCTTTGCTTCATTGTGATTGATTTTTTTCCAACGATTTAAATTAGTGAACAACACTATCTGGCTTCATCGGTTGCAATACAGACTAGGTCAGCAACCTCCAGTTTTGCATTGACTAATGCTATGGGCTTCATATATATCTGGTCAGAGGAGCTCCCAGCAGAAAGGTGCAGCCTGAAAAATAACAGATTTCCCGTAGTCTGTTGGAAAATTCATGAAAACGTCGCAACCCTGCAGAAAGTATTCTAAGGCTTGCCACTGCTTGGCACGAAAATCACCCATTAATTAACATTAATTTATCTGACGCAGAATTCAAGCAACAAGACAACTCATCGTGCTGCAGTCATCTTGGAAGGTCCGCCATTTTATATTATTATCATGCATGCCAGTTCATGTTGATACATTATGCATAGGCGCTATGTATACTTAGCTGCGATTGGTCACTGTGCACTCATCGCATGCTTGCATCTATTAATGTTCACAGACGAGGTCGTGTGCTAGAAAGCAAGCGTAAAAGTAAAGAAAAACGTAAGCTTCAGCAGACGGTTTCACCAAGGCGTCCGTCCTGGTTCAGCTGATTTCTTAGACTGCATGAGGTCGCTCTTCACTTTGATTCGAGCGGCTGGTGCGCACTGCATTGCGCTGGATGACAAACACCTTGACCAAGGCAACAGTACAGTAGGTGTGTGAATGTTGCCCATCACCACTGCTCTGCTGATATTTGTTCAGCACACGAAAATTGCTATGCAAGATTTTTCAATTAAAAGCTCTGCGAAATCGGATTCACTTCAGCAGCTGTTACAGTTGATACATTAGTAGTATTATTCTTTGAATGTACATGTACATTTGCATTCAAAATATTGCCTCTAAACTAGGTACTGTAAACTTAACTAGCATTGTAAAGAATCCAAAGGTGTTGAATTGTGGCTTCCAAACTAGTTACACTTTTCAGCTTTAAGTGCAAGGAAACCATACTGGGAACATTCTAGTTGGATTTTGGACTCATCTTGACAAATGAGAATGCTTATTCATGCACAGCATTTCCAGCTACAGGGAACATGTATTAGCCTGTAAAATACTGATGAGCTTCTTCTAACCAAAAATTAAGTCAAACTAATAAACTTCATAAGGTGAATCGTTGGCCTTTAAATTCTTGAAAACTTGTTGCAGTTATGCATGCAGTAAAAATCCAGACCATGAAAATGAGACCCTCAAATAAGCAGGTATAATTGAAACATTTGTCCCACCAATAAAAGGTTTTAGATCAGTCTTTAAAACTTCCTTCACACATTCTGCTCAACCCTTCAGATGGCCTTTACCGGCATGCAACAATACCTACCCTTCCGGGCAATTTTCTGCCTTTCAATCTTGTGACATGACTGAAAGCCATCAATTTGCATGCAGACTGACTGTAGAAAACTATACAACAGTTAGTGACCTTTGCTGAAAGCCTCCAAAATGATGGAACAGTCATGTTCAGTTTGTTTTACTCAAAGACTGCAACAGTCGTTCTTAAAAAAAGTCCTGGCAATATCCAGTAATCCACAAGCAGTATGTTCAGTCACAAAGTTGACTTCTTGGTTTCCTTTTAATTTTTTTCAGGAAAGCCTTCCTCTAAAAACGGATCACAACAATCCAGACATATAACTGTATCAATCAATCTTTAGTACATTAAAAAGGTGCTTATCCCACACACAAAAAGAAAAGTTAACACAGGCTAGTTTCCCAGGAAAAAATTAATGAAGCGTACAAAAATCCAGTACCACAGGGCAGTGTCAACAACTATTTGGTATTAATCTGGACAAGCCTGCCTGGGCCAAATTTATCCACAGAGAATTTCCTTGGAGGCATTATCCCAAACACACCAGTATATATACAATGTACGTAAGGATAAATGGTGGCACTTTTTTCAAGGTAAAATGCTGCTTGAAATAAATTGGAAATTTAAAGCACAGTGGTCTGGGATTCTACGCTGAAAAGAGGCAAAACAGAAGAATTTAGGCATCAAATTAAAAAAAAGATTTCTTACCAATGATTTATAGCTCTATATTTTGCAGTTAGGTTCAACTTAAAAGAAAGCACTTGTGACTGAGGCCATGCACATGTAACCGACATGGTAGTATTTTTGACTGAAAGTGTGCCATCATGTTTTTTTATGCATTTTTATCACACAATTGAGGCTAAGCCTTAACTTTTTTTCCGTGTCAGTAAAACAAGAGAGTGAACAGCGCGCTTTTGGAATCCATGCCACAATCATTTTAAAATACTATCCGAAGTAAGCCCCAGAAAAATACAAAACATTCAAATTTTGTCTCACTCCCAGAAAGTATTCCCTTTAAAAAAAGGGGGTTACCAAGAACAAAAACAGTAACCACTGTAGGACAACAAAAAGTCCTGCCCATCAGAAACCACTCCATGCTTTCCCTGAAAACCAGAATCGGCCAAAATGCCCTCCAGATACTAGGCCAAAATTCCGGTTTCATTTCACCACAGGGTCTGTTAACCACCTACATAACCATCAACTGGGGAGTGGCCCCAGCCTGGCCTGGTGGAGTACCTCTGGTGGTGTAACTGTACCCTAAAAGCCCCCCAAAGCCCATTCCATGGAGAAAGATAACATTCCACTGTTTCCAAACAAAAGACTGGAGTTACAAGCTGCATATACCTGAAAGGACATTCATGTGGCCATCTGGATCTGCTTTAAAGAGCAGAACTACTGCTTTTTAGGTGGGGAGGGGGGAAGGTTGGAATTGTGCGGTCATGTTGGGGCACTTCTGAATGATCGGGTGTAAAATGAGTATCGTCAGAAAACCGATGGAGCAACATATTTGCTGGAATTTTACACAGGACTTGACAGCATATCTGTATATATGTACATGTATATGCCTCACTCAATCCATTATTTATTTCCATACAACTCTAACACCATGCTCATAAATGTTAAGTCTGTCAGACCAGGGAAGAAAAATTCAATTTTTGTCATAATGAGTCAGTCAGTAAAATACAAACCCACCACCCCCACAAAATCCAGGATTGTGATTTCATTGCACGAACATTTAATTACAGGTACCTAGCTATTTTTATGTACCCGGAAACGCTGAAAGGAAAACACTTGTTTGTAGACACAGCAAGCACGGGGTCTCACTTGAAGCAGCCTACAACTGGCAGCAAACAGGTAGGAAATAATGGAGGAATGATGGAGGAATAATGGAGAGGAAGTCACAGGCAATTAATAGTCAACTGCAAATCACCCAAGGAGAAATCCTGCAGATTGACGGCTGAAAATTCCCAGATGGGACTTGGCTATTTAGTCTGGAAAATTTTCAATTTTCATTCAACACTGGTTGACCGATTATATGCACATGAATGACCAAGCACAAGGGCAGTTACCAATTTGTGGATATTTAGGAATAAAAAAGAGTAAACAGGGCCATAGCCCCTTTCACTCTGTTTTCCTGTATTAATGACCCTAGATCCACCATGTAGACACAGTGTATGTGTGCAATTATATTCAATTCCCCCAAAGGATATTCTCAATCAAACATCAAACCTAGGCAAATACTTTCCTGCTTAAAAACAAAGCCAATACCCAAAAATAAACAACATATCTTTAAAAAAAATTAAAGTTGAAAAATGCAAATGGTGCATTATTCCATTTACAAGCAAAGAATTAACTGGATCAATTCCAGGACTGATTCCAACATTCAGTACAGTGCATGAACTTCACAGCGTAACCGTTTAAAACTGAAATGTGAATTCTGCTATTATGCTAAGCGGTAATAATATTCCGATTGCTGACAAAATCGCAGAAATATACAACTGATGCAGCCTCCACTGCCAATCATTCTGCCAGCACAACAGTTGTGTGATATACAGTGTTTTTAGTATATTCACAAAGACCAATATGTGTGTCCATAATTCTACATATAACCTATGAAACCTCCAAGAAGTTTTAGGCCTCTATATACAGATCTGCATGGAATGCAGGCAAACATCTCCATCAAATATACACTTTACTAGGCACAAACAAATGTAACATCAAGAAAATAGAAAATCTACCAAGGGACTGAAGCATATATCTATAGCTATTGAATTTGACCAGCAAGTAGCACAACCAATGGGGAAGGCACCACCAATATAATAGATGACCTCATCAGCAGCTTTGACAAATGTCTGGGGTGGCATGTTCTCCGTGGCTAAGCATGGTTCAGGAAATGAGCAACACTATGGCCAGATGTCAGGCCAGGGCTTCATTGGTATTAAAGACATCTCACGCTAATTGGCAAATGAACTTGACAATACTGCTAACCCTCCGTGTACCCCCCCCCAAAAAAAAGAAGATCATGGAGAAATTGACCATTGTAATTGGTCAGTCATACTTCAGGCAATGATTTTTCCATAAAAACGAATTCTAAAACACCATCTACCGGTACAGCACCTCATGCTTGTCTGTGGTTCAATGTCATTTAAATTTCCACGGAAAAAAACACTCTGCAAAGATGGTGAGTGGAAGGAAATCTATCTGATGAATCATGAGAAAAACCTCCTAAATCTACCGTGCATGTAGTTTCCACAAATAAGCATGTTTAAAAAAGCTCTTACAAGGAAAACTTCAAGACTTCTTTAATATGAGTAACAGGAAGCCAAAGGATTTTTAGTTTCAACACTGCTATAAAAGTAGTGATCACTTTCTCGGCAGCAGACCTTTCAGTCCTTGGATTTGGTTTCCAGGACAATAATACTGTGTAAATTTGTTTTGGACCTGCTCTGGGGGAGATTTTTTTGGAACAGGATGTGAGGAGTGGATTTTCTGCAGCAGAACCAAATACCTGCCCCCCCCAAAAAAAAATTCCAAAATGTCATGAATCTTGGCACAACTTTATTCACATTGAGGAGTTGGATCCAACTTTGCCAATGTCTGAAATAAAACTCAAGAACTGGCCAGCAATTCACAATTTTCTTTCCTAGTGTCATTCACATTCCCAAACACAGCTGCCCCATGGGAGGTAACAAAGCATAGTCAGTTTGACACAAGATCTCTCATTTATTCAAGTTCCAACTTTCCTTGCAAAAAGTTGATACTGATACAACGTGATAAGCCAGTAAGTCAATTATTTCTGTTTTTTCCTTCTCCCTTTTTTTCATGGAAGCCCCTTTGAAGTGAGCTCTTTATGGGGTGAGGGGATTTAACACAACTAATAAATTAACCATTGGTTTATACATTAAGCTATCCGTTGTGCTTGCTGCAGGGTCATGAGGTCACTCAAAGATCCCCCTGGTTCAGGCAGATTAGCTGCTTGAAAGAGATCTAACAAATTCAGTGCAGTAACGCATCAAGTTTACAACAACTTTGGGAAAGTAAAAAGTTTGATATGTAAAGACGAGATGTTTAAAAACCAAGTGTTATCTAGGTTCAGGATAGAAACACACACAATTGTGTGCCAACGAACATTTACATGAATGTAACTGGGTTAAAACCAGGTCCAAAATCATAAAAACTTAGCCTTGCACTGTGGGAAGAAAAACAGAAAATAAACACAACTTCCAGCCAAAACGTCAAACCTATTAATTGAAGAATCTTTGGAATTAACAACATCCACATATTATATTAAATGAGAATTGCAGAGTTCTGGGTGAAGACAAAAGTTCATTTCTGACTGATGGATTTGTTGGTCTGTGGTTTTTTGACCGTAACCGGACCTGATTGATTTGTCTGCTCAGCTAATACCCCTGGCTACACAAGATTGATTCTGGTGAGGAGTGAAGGGGTGTGACCCCCCTGACTGATCCCAATCCTCTGGCTCAGCCAAACAACCCAATTTCCCATTCATGATAAACTCCCTGTTTGTGTCTGTTTACCAGACCTATTTATTAATCAGACCTCAGCAGGGAGTTTAACGAGGCCCAAGTCAACTGTGGGTTGGAGGGAAACCTGATCTAAATACCAAAAACCAACGCCCAACCTCAACCTGTTGCATTTTTTGGCTGAACGACTGGTCCAAAATTTTAAGAAATAGATGGAAAATGTGGCAAGTTGAATAAGTAGACCCACAAATACTGCCAATGGTTACTTTTTATATTTGTTTGGAGACTTCTAAATCTTTTTTGACATGTATGTATAAGAGTGCTCCATAATATTCTGAAACTTCCAAAAAGTGAGTAAGAATATCTGACAACAGTGCCCGGATAAAAATCTACAGTGAACTTGAGTGAAAATGACAATGTTCACCAACCTGCATCTTCGGCAACAATTTTGAGTGCATAGCTGTCCTCCACCTCACGGTCTAATGATCTGGCCACATGAATCTCCCCTGAGTCAGGTACAATGGTGAAGAGGCCATCATAGCTATTGCCCTCAATGCTGTATGTCAACCGGCCATTGGTCCCCTCGTCTTCATCAGTGGCAGATACTTGGGTGACGAGAGCTCCCAGTTGGTTGTTCTCTTGGATTCTTGGGGTGTAGGGAGTTAGGAACTCTGGTGCATTGTCATTGATGTCTTGGACAGTGATGGTGACGGTGGTGGATGCAATCCGTAACCCATCCCCGCTGTCCTGAGCCCGGACAACCAAGGAATAGGACAAGCGGCGCTCGCGATCAAGAGGGTTTGCCACAGACAGGACCCCAGAGGTTGGATCGATGGTGAAGTCCGAGTCATAATTGCCATTAAAGATGGAGAACCGAAGTTCTGCATTGATTCCTTCATCTGCATCAGTTGCGCTCACTTGCAGGAATTCCAAGCCAACTGGAACATCTTCTGGGAGAGAGGAATGGTAGGAGTCCAACACAAAGATGGGGTTGTTGTCGTTGATGTCCAGCACCTCAATTACAATGTCCATGGAGGAGGACTGAGCCGGTTGACCTTTGTCCGTAGCATGGACGGTGATGGTATACTCAGGGACACTCTCTCGATCCAGATCATTCAACAAGCGGATGTTACCATCCACTGAGTTGATCAAGAACACATTTCCGGGGACCGGCGACAGGGAGTAAGCGATGTAGCTATTCTTCTCCACATCAGCGTCAACTGCATGGACAAACATCACCACATCTCCACGGGAGGTGTCCTCCCGCACGGAGACATGGTTCCCCGTGGTGAAGACTGGGGCATTGTCATTTATGTCTAAAACGATGACGGTGACCTGGGCCGTGGTGGACTTCTGCTGGACGAGGTCGGCAGCTTGGTCGGTGGCAGTGATCTCAAGATTGTAGAAGGACTGCATTTCACGATCAAGACCTATGATTGTGGAGAGGCTCCCATTGGGGTAGATGGTGAAACGACTGGTGGGATCACCCGAGGAGATGGTGAACACTATCTCAGCATTGGAACCTATACAAATGATACAAAAACCAACACTTTGAGAATATTGCAAACACAATCAAAGGATTTATCCTTTTAAACTCTATTATTTCTCTTCTTAACTAATTCCAGCCAGCGGGCCCCAGGCTTGGTGCTTCATGTATGTTTCGCCACAAATTTCAACTAAAAAATCGCAATAACAATAACTGTTAACTCTTAAGAGTCACTTGCAAAGACTTGTACAACATTTCTTGCCCAGTTAGTGTCTTTAGATCTCTCTTAGGCAGTACCACTGAGCAATATTGCTACAATAGACTGTCCATGGTCCCACACAGTACCATAGTCAGGGCACCACACTTGGTCAACCTCTGATACAAAAAAAGTCAAAACTGAGGCCGTGTCCGAAACAGGGTTCCAGAGCTACGGCTAGGTCTATTGTCTATGCGTCTCCACACATTTCCAATAAAGTGAAGACCTAGACCTAGCTCTAGACAAGAGATTCGGATGCAGCCTTACACATGAGAGTTGAGGTAGTGCAAACTCCTGTTGTTTGGGCCTGCACCAACCTCCATTTTGAAGGGTAATACATGTACATTACAGGCAACAATTGCCACAACAGCAAACTGCAGCATAATTAATCCTAAGTGTTGCAGCTGCGCTTCCAGATTTGCAGGCGGGTGCGCGGTTCTCTGCTTGTTTCACAAGAGGGCGCACTGTATACCAAGCTTTATGCCTCGCCGCTTCACATTAAAATATCCAAGGGCTCTAAAGGGGTTCCAAACCAGCCATTTATACCACTTGAGGGGTTCAGAGATACTCACTTTGGTAAGTGAATATTCCGCACATTGGCTCTAATTCGAAAGGTATAGATTTGGGGGGTAACCTTTGTTTTATTAGTGGAGAAATATTAGAATTTATAAAAGGGTAGTCCACTTGGTTAACGTTGAATACATTACAAGTTGCTGTAGAGCCGCTGACTCACCTGATTATCATTAGCACCTGGTTCTCATTTGTATAAGTTATTATTTAACCCTAACCTTCCTCAATCCTTCACCTGTTGGAGGACTGAGGAGTGTTAGGGTTAATACCGGAGGTTTTCTCCGACGCTAATTGGGGGCCAGTAATTATGACAATTGTTCTCGTAGTTTATCATATAGTTTATTCTCCCTTTACTTTCCTTTCTCCTTAAAGCTCACTATGGACAGGGAGGGCTCCTCACCAGCCATGTACATGTCATTGGGAGGAAAAGAAAAATATATTCATATTCATATAAATTGGGTGTGCCACACAACTGCATTGGATAGAGTCCACAACAAGGAATAGGAAATTATCCATTTTTACTGACTAGTTATTCACATCAGTGGGCATGAGATCATTTAAAAAAATGGTATTCTACATTATCATCAGAACAAAGTTGCATAAAATACTGCCTGCATGTAATATAGGCTACAATTTCGTTGCACAAAATTGAGAAAAAAACACTGCTGCTTGAAAAAAATGTTTGGGTTAAAACCTCGGGAAAGACATGCTATTGTTGAGAAATTGTTCAACCAGCAACCCCATTCAGTCAATAGGCTTGAATTCTGGTGTGCTTTAACAGAATTAAATTGACCTGACAACAAAACCAAACCAAAGAGCACAACTGTCCTAGACAGCTTTGTAATGATTCATACCCAAGGGGTCAACTCTGAGGATTCCTCTTAGCAGCTGTCACACAGTGGTCTAAACTTTTCCAAAATTATCTCCTGCTACCACAAAAATCTGAATCTTGCACCATCTCCTCCAACAAAATCTTTTCAACAGGACTGTAAATGGACATGAACAAAAGCATGGAAATCTAATCTGTCATTGACCAAATATTTAACAGTGGATACATCTTTCTGCCCTTTTGAAATCAGCGTCATCTGTTTTATAAAATAAATACTGGGCACCCCCCCAGAAAAAAATGCAAAAGGCAAAAAGCTCACTGTGCCTGGCATGTGGCCAGCAAAGCTATGTATGAAAGTGTCAATAACCTTCAGAATAATATCCTACAATCATAACAGGATGAAATTTCAGCATAAGTGTAATGACATTCCCAGGGCAGGGCAAGGGACAGGAGACCTGTTCCTAGGGATGTAAAGTAACACTTTTTTGGGTATGCTCTAGAAACTTTCTGGATTACAATGCTGTCTGCTTCCATCCACCCATGGCAAACAGGGCACTAAGAAGACAGAGTTGGGAAATAAATCTGTCTCCAGGGACTTGATGATTTAAGCAGGCTTGAAGAAATATTGTACTTGGACATATGTTACATGCATGTACCTAATTACGCAGTACCACTTGAACGGCCAAATATTTGACAAAACAAAAATTTGATCAAAGCTGTGGTCTTGGAAAGAAAGAGGTCATTCTGAATTAATCAAATGACAACTCACTCATTACAACAAGGAACTTAGCCTTTTGCTCACACATGGAGATCAAGCAAAGTGAAATTTCATGAAAAGTTTTAATTTTATATGCCACCTGATGTGTACAGTATGTGTACATGTATAGTATGTGGATCCATCATCATGTGGTTTACGTAAGTTGAAAGGTTGAGAGGTGAAAGGTCCCTAATTTGCACAATGCACACAACTCAAGTTGTTACACTACCAGACTAAAATTGAATCTTCTGTGCAGAACAAAAGCGTGACCTTGTGACCTCACGTTCAAGAGGTATGTTGATGCAGGTAGGTGCATGATTGGTGCCTCGAATTCTGAAATGTCGATTGGGACTGGCGTGGGGGTTAACAGGGAACAGATCCCAACCCAGGTAGTGAGAGATTCTCTTACAATCTGTGAATATTGCAGTGCTTCATAAACTGCTCAGTGCAGTGAACACTCTGAGGATCGGTGGAAGGGACCCGTGAAATGCCGGGTGGTTTCTTGTTCTGCCTAGAGGGTAGGAGCTTTTGGTTTCCAGCCCTGCCGAGGAGTTTTCGGTCACAGCTTGCATTCAACTCAGGAGGATGCCAAAAATGCAACAGTTTATGCTTTTGTTGGCTCTGCGCGGATCAAGTTAACTGACTCCTTGCCCTTCCAACACATGGCTGATGTGACATGACTGGCAGCTGCTTACTACATTTTGTCTTGTTTATTCAACGGCGAGCTTCATGCTTTTTTTGGAAAGTTTGTAATCCCTATTGCAAGAAGCCATGATTTTCAGTCCTCACTGGAAATTAAGAACTTTCCTGATGTTTCTATTTTTGACTGATTCAAAGACAAAATAGTACAAAAACCAGTCCATAATGTAAGGCTCCTTGCAATTCCTGTTTTTTCCCGACTGCTTTTGCTCATGTTTTCTCAAATTATAGACGTCAAATTTGAAGGAAAATGGCAGATTTCAGTGTGTACCTGAGTCAGCATCAGTGGCTGTTACCATGACAATTTCTGTCCCCACAGCAACATCTTCAGCAACTTCAACCCAGTAACTTGTGGGATTGAAGACTGGCTCGTTGTCATTGACATCCAGGATACTGAAGTAAACAGAAGCAGTGGTGGAACGTGGAACGGTGCCTCTGTCATTGGCACGAACAGTCAGAAAGTACACTTGCTTCTGTTGAGGAAAAACAATATGTCATTATAGTTTCCAGACTGGAAAAATCCAATCAAACCGGAACTAAAGCAGCAAGCTCCAAACATTACTTACACTGAAAGCCACTGTAATCAAATTTGAGCTTTTCTGTAAATCATAAGTACATGTAGGCCCTTCATATAGTAAGAGTTTTTGTTTTGTTTCTTTTGTTGGGGGGGTTGAGTGTAAATTGTATACAAATGGCACAGTCTATACTTATTTTTCTACAAACCAACATTTAATATATTAAAACAGAAGAAAATGGTCAACTAGATTTGATGTTTCAGTGTTACATGTACATACAGTACTTGTATTCATTTAATTATTTTTATTACACATTATTGACGAGGGTTGCAAAAGTAATGCTTCAAAGGATTACCTCTTCAAAATCAAGTTCTGTCAAAAGGGTGAACTCTCCTGTCAGGGAGTCCAGACTAAAGATGTCTTCTCCTGGTGCTCCTTCAGCAACAATAGAGTAAACCACTTCGCCATTGGTCCCAGCATCTGGGTCAGTTGCTGTTACTGCATCCAGGACCGTCCCAACAGCATGATTCTCCAGCACACTAAATGAATAAGTGGACTCGGTGAATGCAGGGTCGTTGTCATTGGTGTCCTGGACGCTGACCTCCAGCGTTGCAGTCTGGAACTGCCGGCCATCACTGGCTCGCACCCCCAGTGTGTAAGTGGCCACCGTCTCCCGATCCAGCTGTCCACTGGTCCAGATCTGGCCAGTGTCTCTGTCAATGGTGAAGCGGCCATCATTACCACTAACGATGCTATAGGATATCTGGGCATTGGAGCCCGTGTCCGCATCATGGGCCATAAGCCGTGTGACAGGGGAGCCACTCCGGGCTTCCTCTGATATGTTGACTTGGTAGACAGGGCGGGCAAAGGTTGGTGGGCTGTCATTCTCGTCCAGGACAGTTATGTGGACCTGCATGAAAAGACAAAAGATAAAAGAAATGGATTGAAGTGCATTAAAGAAATCAGACTAGCCAAAAGAGCACTGATCTTCCGTGCAGTGAACGCACTTAATATTATTCTAGTACATGGATCACAATACGGCCGTTTTACAATAGAGCGCCACCAAGAGTTTGCAAAATGTTGGCCAATAACAATGAGCGAAATTTGTTGACCCAACGTGTATTTGGAAACGGTCGACAAATTTTGCGCGTTATGATTGGTCAACGCGTTGCAAACTCTTGGTGGCACACTATTGTGAATTGCCCGTACTGCAAAATGGAAAAGCCTACAACAGGTCATTGTAACTAAAAATGGCCCACATGTGAACTCAACAACTACAAATGATATTTATCAAGAGAACTTTGTCAGTAAGATATGTGAAAAAGAATGGCTCTAATTACTTATTTGAACAGTCCTTGTTCAGACCATAATCATCCATGCACACATCTCAGATATCTCTCCCTAACACCTTCTGCTGTGCCAAATTGCACACAAATCCCACCAACTTTCAACTGCAACCAGTTTAACCATTTGAGGAAGTGCAATGTAATATACTCATTTCTCCAGACATTAGGGCATTTGATCCATTAGGCACCCACTGATTTCCCCCAAGCAGAATGATTGCATGTGTGAAAAGTTACACCTGGGTCTTGTTTGGTTTGCCGTTTCATTTCAGCCACTGGGCACTTGAACCACAGAGCATAGGAAACGTTTTCTTACTCCTCAGTACTTGAACAAGCTGTGGGGTCCATTTAAATCTATCTATTTTTCACGTTGGGTAGATTATTTCAACTGAGAGAAACCAAGCCAATGTATGAGGTCCTATGTACACGGACATCCTTTAACTACTGTGATAAGAAATACACTACAAGCATCAAGCAATGAAGAATGTGAACTTCTTTTGAAAGAACTAACCGTGGAGAATTGTAGTGGGTATTGAAGTGGGTTCATTTGAACTACACAATGTCTCCAAAGAGATACTAGACGTTGACCCCAATGACTCTTATTGAAAAACCTGCCTTTTGACAGGTGTTTCATACACCAAGTTTAAGTAGGATGCAAATGGTGGCTACTGTGGTTCACACTTGTTATGATAGCTTGATAGATTACAGGCATATTCAAAAGACATGCAGAGCAGACTGGGCTAGGCCCAGACCATGCAGGACATTGGAGGCCAAACGTATCATGTCTGGTATGCCCTGTGAGGAATTTGTAAGGAGGAAGTGTGGGGGTGTCCTAATCCCAAATGGAGCCAAAAAGCAGGATATTTGTTTCAGATTCAGATATCCCAAAAGGAACCATGTATCTGGAACAATAACAGCATCCAGTGACTAAATTGAATGCACTTATATGTACATTTACAAACAACTGATGCCAACTGTTCTGGCACACACTTGGGCATTATTTCTACCATTTTGTCTGTGATTAATTAAGCAATGTTTTTCAAGTCCAAATGTCGTTTAGTCATTCAGTGTAGTAAAATTTCTTTCTGTAACCAAGTAGGCCTTCAGTATGTGCCCAAGCCACTATGGCATTGAGAAGGCAATGTCTTTTGTAAGGAAAGTCATGACCAAGTTGTGAGGACAACAATTTGTCCCCATGACATTGTTGGTCCCAGCAACATCCATCAACTGTAAAACAAATATGGGTGTACCGGTACTTGACCAGCTAATAACACCAGACGTGCTGTTCCTCTGACTTGCTCAGGTGTTACTCATTCATGGGGAAAAAGTATGAATGTTTTGAATTCCTTTTTGCTACCCTTTCCCATGCTGTACTGCTTGGGATTGATGACACAGGCAATTAGCCGACATCAGGCTTGAAAGAATTGCTGACACCACAAGGTGAAACCGCTCATTATCAGTCCTGGCACCATTGTCCCCTGTGAAGGGCAGTGCCCATCCTACGAAACCAAAATGCCTCTTCCATATGATTGGATAGGCAGAACACCAGGCAAGGTGAATTTTCCTTTTATCAGACTCAACAGGTGAATGAAATCAACTCCATGAGAATGGATCAGTAGACTTAAAATGAGGTACATCCAGTTCTCATCTGGCCACTTGTCCTTATAAACAAAATTTGTAATTTGGACTGGCACTTCTGCTTTTTCAAATTTTACAAGCCACCTTTTCACATACATGTACCCGTACATGTACATGTATGTACATGAACATGTGTAAAGCTTTTAGCACTAGGTAAATAGGTAAGCATGGAAATATGGCCTGAGGTATCACCAAGGGGTGTCAGTTTCCAAAGTTTCTTAGCAAAGGACAGACAGTTTAACCGTGGTTGAGAAAGGACAGGCTGGTGTTTCAATTCTACGAAATATCACATACATTCACTCCAAACCCACTCTATCCAAACCCATTCTATCCCAGTGTACAATACGCTGCATACTTTAATGCAAGTGTCCTTTTACCATAAAATCATCATTCAAACAAAGAAAGGTTTTGAAAATGAAACCGGGCGCAAATCTTCAAAACATATTGGAGTAGGTGGCCCAAAGGTTTCTGCACAGTGTAAAGCTCCACTTTGTGTGTCAACACAGCAAGCTTTGTTACATCTAGTACCAGGATGCCATTATCCACCTCTGTAGGGACAAATTTTCCGCAAATGTGGTGACAAATTGACATAAAAATGCGTTTTGACACCTGGACACTGCATTGTTCGGATATACCTGAGAAGCAATCTTCCCACAAATACTGTAATACATTTTCCTGTCAAAAATCTTTTCATTTCAAACAGCCTGCCTGCCCAGCAAGTCTGTGAATGCTTAGAAACCATGGTACCTACTTCCATCTTCACAACCAAAGAATCGTTCGTGAGTTCGTCAAAGGATTGCCGCAGCTTGTAATCTGAAATCCAATTTCATACTTATTGTTCATTTGAAATGGAATGCATGACTAGACTGACTGCACAAATGCATGGATGCACTGGGATATAATATGATTACTGCTGGGGTACTGCCAAAGTATCAACTCACTTCCAACCCTTCTTTTGAAAAGCAGTGAATCAATTCTGCAAAGGTTGATTTCTACAGGTGCACCCACCCTGTTTTTTCCCTCAATCTAATACTTTTTCAAAGGCCACTGGTACATGAATGCCTTACACATGAACTGACTGTGACAGATTCCAACAAAATAACAGCCACATGAATAACCTTATAAATTCAAATGAAAAATATTTACTGCATGTAAGAACAACACAAAAGAAACCTGTTAAAATACAATACAGGGGCACTCAGGGGTGTAAACGTTTTCTCCATCGTTCATGGGGAACTGAAAGCAAATGAACTGTGGCTTACACCTACATGTAGTGCACATGTATGGAGGCACATGGGGGGGGCACAGACTTCCTCTATCCCTTCCCACAGCCAATGTAATTAAACATCCGAGTATTAAAAAGGAGGGGGGGCAAAAAAGTTGTCTTACAAGTGACCAAAATCGTGTTGGCTTTGCGTCATCACAGAAATATTCCAACAATTTCAATATGCCCTATGGCGGTTGGTTTTAAGGATCTTAAGTGATCATCTTGCAGCTGAGAACATTTCTTCCTCCCCATCCTTTCATGGTCTGCTGTAAAACCACAGTCACTAATTCCCACAATACAAATGCTTGTTTCTTTTCCTTCTTTCTCCAGATTAGCGACAAACTGGGAATAATCACTTTGAACAAGATTCATAAGAGAAAGAGGATTACATGAAAGATGAAGGGAAGAACAAAGGCGAAGTTCCCCTGGAATGCAACAGCTGCACAGTTACTTGTTAATAAGGCACTGGACAAGGGACTGAAAAAATCCCACAGACAAGATTTCTCACAAACTTAAGAGGATGCATTTAGCACAAGTAGCCTCAAAACTAAAGAGATAAAGATGGATTCATTTCTGTTCAATGGATTATCCGTGGTACCTGCAGAACAGAGGAATAAGAAGGAAACTTTTGAAGCCCAACCAGCTTGCGGTACAATACTGATTATTTGTGTCATCTAAGACTAAAAAATCTCTTTTTGCTTGGAAGAACAGCTCAAACGTGAAAGGATATAGTAATACATGTACTGACTCACCAAGAAGACATTTTGGCAAGTGTACACCGTCCAAACACTTGACGAGGCAATTCACCAGTTAAACCAGAATTAAGCAGCATTGGAATTTAGGTAATATGGATTTCCTGGTTTAAGGGTTCAGAGGAAACCACGGTATTTTCAAATGTTCAAAAAGGGTGCTTTTTAACAGTATTCCCCACATACCGAAGTTCAGCTTTATTCATGATTTATTTACTCTACAGTATTTACTTTTTCAGATTTGTGGCTACAACTTCAAATACTGGTGTAAATGGTGCTTGGAACATACATCATTCCATGTATCATATGCTGCCTTGACTTTGGTAAACTATTTTACCACAATAACAGAAGCAACAACGGTTGAAGCAACTAACATGTCATTTCTAAACTGCCACACGGAAGCAGGTTTCCATGCAGCAAAGGCGCATCCAAAACCACAGGAGGCTTGCCTCATAATGAAGGAAGGGTGCAATTTGTCAGTGTGACTTACAAAACATTTGTTCCCCAGAAGTGGGCAGTGATTTACACCCCTTGGAAAGGAACAAACTGGGCAGTGGGGAACATCTCTGGTATGGCCAATACCCAGCAATGCATCAAATACATGTACTCCTGCCCCCATCAGGACAGACACTGTGTCTGGTATGCTGACCCAGCCCTGACCTCAAACACTTTATTTGCACCGAGGTTAGGTTTGCTCCAGAAACCAATCAGAATCAATATGCAAGAGCTAAACAGAAAATTAACTCTTTGACACATGTTACTTGGGTAATACTGTGCATTATGCTGTGCCAAAAACAAAAATGGTTAATTTGAAAGAACGTGACAGAATCAGCATATGTTTCAAATACTGTGTCAAAGGTGCATTGAATGCCAACTTGTCCTATTATTATCAAAATGTCTGGACTACAATGGT